CTGGGTTTGAATCCCGGTCGGACCAGGGCCTTTCTGAGTGGAGTTTGCATGTTCTCCCCGTGTCTGCGTAGGTTTCCTCCGGGTACTCCGGTTTCCCCTACTACTAAAAATATGTACAATAGTTCTGGCATGCGCCTCCTGCACTGGCCCCGCTCCCATCTCTGTGTGGAGTGAGAGACAAGTGCCAAAAATTAACAATTGTAAACCGCTTTGTGACTCTGGTCTGTGAAAGGCGGTATATAAATAAAGATTACTTACTTACTTACTACAGAAGACGAAGAACAGGCTTCAGGCCATCTACGGAGACCTGCGTATACAAATACTAAGAGCAAACTTCATATCTGGTAAGTGTCTGTGTCCTACAGAAGCTAATAATGAAAGAGTCCAACTCCAATCCATAAGTGATCACTTGGTCACATCATGTCGCTATAAGAAGATAACCCGCTGTGACCTGATGTAATCATGATCAGTCAAGTTAAAGTCAGCTCACTTTTAGCGCCGCTATAACAAACAGCTGACGTTTCTAAAATGCTAACATTAGCTGTTTTGCTAAATAAGTAGCTAGGGAGGCTCCTTCGTTTTAGTCTGAGGAGAAACAGTCTTCAAATAACTAACTAAACAGTTGTTCATAAGTGAGCCTGCGTAGCCTTCTAGTCACAACAATACTGATACTGTGAGTGGATGAAGAGCACACCAATATTTTAGAGCTAAAATCACAAACTTGTCTTTTTACCATTGATACAAAGATAACTGGAGAACAAAAGTGATCAACCCGTATACCACTCAAAATGTAGTAACTACTTATTAATGTGGCTTTTTTCCTTTATCAGGAGAACTGCGTCTTGCATCTGAGGAGGGGACTGCTGAGCTGAGTGACGGAGAGACGTGAAGTGGATTTGTCTTTTATTTTGTGCAGAGCTACTAGTAAATGTCATTCAGTGGTCCTCCTTGTGTCCTGCTCCTTCTTCAGACAGCGCAGAACATAAAACAAAACGCAGATTACACTAATACAGGGGTTAATGGGTGTGCACCAGGTTAAGACTGTAATTGAACATTAAAAGCAAGTTACATGTCCATACCCTGCCATACAGGAACAGTTCAGGGTAAGGATGTACCAAGTCTTTGTAGACGTACACCCAGGACTCATAAGGCTTTGACTTAATGCCCACTCTCTGACTGTGGAGCACATCAGCCTCAAAACATAGAACTCAGTCCCAGAGTGGAAGTATTTCACATTCTTCACATAACACATAATTGTATGTATTTATAGATTTATATGCTTTTGGATTTTCTTTTAATAATTTGTTTTCTTGACACTCATGGTTGCCTTACAACCAAGTAAAAAAAAGTGTATTTTATAAACAGTTAAAAGCATCATGGAGAGAGGAGAGTGTGGTTATGATGTTAGTGAGTGGGCTTGTCTGAACAGATGAGTTTTGAGGGTGGATTTGGAGAGGCTCTATTCAACATGGTGACAAGGCGGGCAGGAGGGACCAAGAGCTGGAGAGGAGGAGGAGGAGCAGAGGGGCAGGAGGGACCAAGAGCTGGAGAGGAGGAGGAGGAGCAGAGGGGCAGGAGGGACCAAGAGCTGGAGAGGAGGAGGAGGAGCAGAGGGGCAGGAGGGACCAAGAGCTGGAGAGGAGGAGGAGGAGCAGAGGGGCAGGAGGGACCAAGAGCTGGAGAGGATAGGAGGAGCAGAGGGGCAGGAGGGACCAAGAGCTGGAGAGGAGGAGGAGGAGCAGAGGGGCAGGAGGGACCAAGAGCTGGAGAGGATAGGAGGAGCAGAGGGGCAGGAGGGACCAAGAGCTGGAGAGAGGAGGAGCGGAGGGAGCGGGCAGGTGTGGAGATCTGGAGGAGGTCAGTCAGGTATAAACACTGTACGTCTGGATGAGGAAGTTATAGATATTAGGCCAGGTAACAGACGGCCATTTACTCCTATCTACAACCCACTGTTCTGTGAGAATAAGTGCTATTATATGTTTATTTGATAGGCACAGAACTAAAAGTATTGATACAGGTGGCCGATACCATGTTCATAGGCTGTATAGCTAGCACTTCATTTGCAGACCTGGTCCCTAAGACATGAAAATACATCACATGTACATAGATTATTATAAAACCACAGTTTTACATCTTGCTGGTCTGCAATGTGTGGTGCTGGTGCCCATCGCAGAGATAACCTGCAAGATCAGAACGATACAGAGTTTCTGTGTGATTTTAGGGATGTTAGCCATCCTAAATTAGCAAACACAGTACAGGTACAGTAGCCAAATATCGTAAAATTAATGGCCTTAACAGGTTAGCCCCGACGAGCTACTTAACTTTAAGTTAATTTTGATAAGATATCATGAAGCCAATGAAACGTACTATTTAGCAAGTTTCACAGATTTGTTTAATCATTCAGCTAGTTACCTCATTTGTTTCAAAACTTTATGTACAGGTTATGGACTGACAGATTCATTGCTAGCTAGCATAGGCTCATTAGGTAAGCCGCTATAATTATGTAAATAATAAGCAAACAAAAAATCAAAGACATAGTTTTATTCACCTTTGATAGCAGTAGATAATCCTGACATGACAAAGCATTCAGTGTGAACAACGTACAGCGGTGATGAAGGTCCCGAGGTGTAGCTTAGCTGGCTAGCCTGGGGGCAACATAGGCATATGACGTTATTACGAGAGCATATTTCACACGATCTAAACATGACCTGGTGTAATTAGGGTGTCCACAAGAGTGCACATACCACGTCAAAGCCTACAATAGCCAGCCCAGTTGAAAAAATGTGATCAATCATACGATGTAGAGAGTTCGAACGACACTTGAATTTTGAATGGTGTGTGTTTTGCTTTTGTGATGACGTAACATCCGGTCTCTCCAGCCAATGGGAGCGCTGAGCCCGCCCCTCCAAAAAGGGCTCAGATGAAAAATGTATCGTAACCGTAAGTTTTGACCCGTAAGCGTAGCTTGTGAATCGTAAACGTAACTTTTGAAGCGAAACATGAAAAATCAGAAACGTAAATGTAAGTTTTAATTTTTTTCATTTACAATATATTTTTAATGTTTACAATACTTACAACCTACGATTACAATTCCTGCTTTACGGTTACGTTTAAGCTGACCCTATTTTGACGCCATACTGTCCCTGCTGAAGAAAAGCAGGCCCAAAGCATGATGCTGCCACCACCATGTTTGACAGTGGGGATGGTGTGTTCAGGGTGATGAGCTGTGTTGCTTTTACGCCAAACATATCGTTTTGCATTGTGGCCAAAAAGTTTGATTTTGGTTTCATCTGACCAGAGCACCTTCTTCCACATGTTTGGTGTGTCTCCCAGGTGGCTTGTGGCAAACTTTAAACCAGACTTTTATGGATATCTTTGAGAAATGGCTGTCTTCTTGCCACTCTTCCATAAAGGCCAGATTTGTGCAGTGCACGACTGATTGTTGTCCTATGGACAGACTCTCCCACCTCAGCTGTAGTTATCTGCAGTTCATCCAGAGTGATCATGGGCCTCTTGGCTGCATCTCTGATCAGTCTTCTTGTTTGAGATGAAAGTTTGGAGGGACGGCCGGGTCTTGGTAGATTTGCAGTGGTCTGATACTCCTTCCATTTCAATATAATTGCTTGCACAGTGCTCCTTGAGATGTTTAAAGCTTGGGAAATCTTTTTGTATCCAAATCCGGCTTTAAACTTCTCCACAACAGTATCTCGGACCTGCCTGGTGTGTTCCTTTGTCTTCATGGTTCTCTCTGTGCTTTAAACAGAACCCTGAGACTATCAAAGAGCAGGTGCATTTATACGGAGACTTGATTACACACAGGTGCATTCTATTTATCATCATCAGTCATTTAGGACAACATTGGATCATTCAAAGATCCTCACTGAACTTCTGGACTGAGTTTGCTGCACTGAAAGTAAAGGGGCCCAATAATATTGCACGCCCTACTTTTCAGTTTTTTATTTGTTAAAAAAGTTTAAATTATCCAATAAATTTCGTTCCACTTCACGATTGTGTCCCACTTGTTGTTGATTCATGACAAAAAATTAAAATGTTATATCTTTATGTTTGAAGACTGAAATGTGGCGAAATGTTGAAAGGTTCAAGGGGGCCGAATACTTTCGCAAGGCACTGTACATATATACACACATGCACTATAACAAAAGAAGGAGGAGAAAGAGTCATGTGAGTGTACAGATTACTTAATTCCGTCTTGAGTGATCAAGTCACTTTGGCGACAGTTGTGGCATGTCTCTCAAAGTGATCCACTTGGTTGTGGCTATGGAACAGCCGAGTGACGTCTCCACACTTGACTCGGAGGACAGCGGGGAACTGCAGAGCGTATTCCACGTTGATCTCCCGGAGTTTCTTCTTTATAGGATCAAACGCCCGCCGCTGTTTCAGTACCTCCGCGCTGAAGTCCGGATAGAAGTGGATCCTGGTGTCATCAATCTTGAGGGCACCTTTGGCTCTGGAGAGCTGAAGCGTTTTTATTTTGTCCGGGAGCCGCAGAAACTTCACAACTATCGGTCTTGGATGTAATGTGGGCCCATCGCCGCCTCTGTGAGCTGGAACCCGGTGCGCGCTCTCTATCGGTGGAGGCGCGGGGAAGTTCGCCGGTCCAAACAAATGTAGAAGAAGCTTTTGCACAAAACCAATGGTATCCTGTCCTTCCGCCTTCTCTGGGACTCGAACAATGCGCACATTAGTGCGCCGACTGTAGTTCTCCAGAGCCTCCAGCTTCTGCTTCAGGTGAGTTTGGGCTTTTTCCTGGTTGTTGAGTAGAATTTTCATTTCCTCAATGTTGTCTTCATTGCGGCTAACCCGCTGTTGTACTTCAGTAACTTGATGGTTCATCATTTCCAACTTGTCTTTCATTTCAATCAATGTCCCATTGAGAGTTTTTGTGAAGACGCTTAGCTGGTTTGTAGACTCGAGAGCAGCCGCTGAGATTTGATTTGTAACTTCTAGTCTCAGATCTGTGAACGCGTTCATTAGCGTCATCACGCACCCGCCGCCACCACGCACCCGCCGCCACCACGCACCCGCCGCCACCACGCACCCGCCGCCACCACGCACCCGCCGCCACCACGCACCCGCCGCCTCCACGCACCCGCCGCCACCACGCACCCGCCGCCACCACGCACCCGCCGCCTCCACGCACCCGCCGCCACCACGCACCCGCCGCCACCACGCACCCGCCGCCACCACGCACCCGCCGCCACCACGCACCCGCCGCCACCACGCACCCGCCGCCTCCACGCACCCGCCGCCACCACGCACCCGCCGCCACCACGCACCCGCCGCCACCACGCACCCGCCGCCACCACGCACCCGCCGCCTCCACGCACCCGCCGCCACCACGCACCCGCCGCCACCACGCACCAGAGAGAGAGACCAGAGAGAGACCAGAGAGACCAGAGAGAGAGACCAGAGAGAGACCAGAGAGAGAGACCAGAGAGAGACCAGAGAGAGACCAGAGAGAGAGAACAGAGAGAGACCAGAGAGAGAGACCAGAGAGAGACCAGAGAGAGACCAGAGAGAGAGACCAGAGAGAGAGAGAGACCAGAGAGAGACCAGAGAGAGAGAGAGACCAGAGAGAGAGACCAGAGAGAGACCAGAGAGGGGCCAGAGAGAGAGATTAGAAAGAGAAATCCTTTATTGATCCATCAGTTGTACACATCACAGAAGAAGAAACAGTAGTTCTTCTGCTGTGAGTAAAACAGGGGTCTGTAAATCCTGACATAACGACTGTGACCTGGATCCACCTTGTGTCGTCACAACTGAAGACCCCAGAGTGTTCCCCCAACCCTTCTGTCCCAGCGCTGCTCTGTCACTCAGTCTCTGCTCCGGAGAATACACTTTCATTCATCATGTGGTCTCTCTGGTCTCTCTCTCTGGTCTCTCTCTGGTCTCTCTCTCTGGTCTCTCTCTCTGGTCTCTCTCTCTGGTCTCTCTCTCTGGTCTCTCTGTGGTCTCTCTGTGGTCTCTCTCTCTGTGGTCTCTCTCAGTATCAGTTTCATCTGTTTCCAAATTTAAACTCTGCTCGTGCCAAAGCAGCAGTGAAACCAGAGACCGACCTGAAAGGGCAGGAGGCCATAGGGACTGGGACTGGGACTCGGACTGGTACTGGGACCACAGGAGGAGACCAGGACAGAGCCGTCTCTGACCTGAACGCGGCAGGATTCCCCCAGATGAGCAGGAGGTGTGTGTGGAGAGGAGGCCGCCCCAACGACCCGGCATCGGATAATGCGGAAGAAACTGGACAGATGGAGACAGAGCTTTATTAATCTATGTCAAATCCAGTGTTAGATCTGAATCGTTCTGCTCACATTCAGACGTTAAACCAGATTCTGTTTTCAGAAAGATTCAGAGTTTTACAAATTTCAGATATTTACCATTTTTTTGCTGCAGTTTGTCAGAAGTGTGTGAAAGTTCAGTGTGAGCAAAGGTCCAGACACACACACTCTCTCACACACACACACATACACGTTTTTGTTACCTGGTGGGTCCCTTTGACAGGGCCGTTCAGAATGGGACCCATAGACATAATCTTTTTTTACTGGGACTACTTTAAGTAATACAAAACAGTCAATAGAAACCAAACAACTATTTTAAAGGAATTGTATATATATATTTTTTTTTTGAATTGCAGTGATTCTATTTTTGACATAGAATTTAATGCCACTCCATGTCCGATGTCTAAGGTCATCTGGTGAGGCATTAATGCAGGCCAGGCCAGGCCAGGCCAGGCCAGGCCAGGCCAGGCAGTGAGACTTCCCAGGGACCTTTCCAGTCTGTATGAAAGGTGTCATGGTCTTCTCCACAGCCTTCACCTCAGATGCAGACCATGGCTTTCTTACACGTTCTAGGGAGAGAAATAAAAATATATTAGCAATATACACTCCCAGGGTGAGGACCAAGCAGCCTGGCTGTAATCCCCCACCTGGTACACTTACCAGAAGGGGCACTGCCACTACCATGGGGTGCATCTGGATGAATGGTTGAAGGTTCTCCGCTTGAAGTTTCTTTTAGCCCGTCCGTTTGTGAGAGGATCTCTACTGCTCTCCCTGTCGCACAGAAAATAAAAATACAAGTGGCCTTTAGGGGAAAAAAATCATACATATTTTAATAATATCAAGAATTACCTTCAGGCTCAATTTGTATCTGGTCGAGGCTCTTTCCTTCGAATTCCGTCACTCTTCCCTGCTCCATGGCCATCAACACTTTGCTGATTTTGGCCAGCTCCAGTGTCCCCTCTGGTAGTCTGTAATATTGCCTGTGGATGCGAATGTCATGGCCGAGGAAGTTGGCAAGTATGTCCATCTCATTCTCTTTCATATTGAGAACTGTAGACATAGTAGCTATGTGCTTTCTAAGTTTGGTTGAGGATAGCATCTCTGGATGCACCGCACCACATTCTTTGGCTACCTGGCGTAGGGAGTCTGATCCCCTGATGTGGGTGTCTGCGCCCGGGCGGGAAAAGAAGTATGGGTTATGGTCAGAGATGGAACAGGCCCTTCTGTTCTCCACCAGCACCTCCATCCAAGCAATCATTTCAGGAGTCAAAAGAACCGGCACTTTCCCACTTCTTTTCCCTTTAATTTCAATGCGTTGAAAATGCTGACACAGCTTTTTCTCAAGTTGGGACAGTCCCAGAGCAATGTCAGAATGGATCCCAGTCTTCAGATTCAGTTTATTTGCCATTTGCAGTAAAACCACATTGAAATACATTAGCAAAAGTCTCCAGTGTGCACAGACAAATACAGACATAAAACAACATTAAAAGACAGAAATAAAACAAATAAAACAGTAAACAAATGTCACTGTGTAATCGATCGACTAAAACAGTTTCAAAACAAGTGCAAATCATTAAAGTGCTCTGTTCACACTGATAACAGCCTGTGGATAAAAACTGTTAGCGTAACGAGATGTCCTGCATCTCAGAGAGCGATATCTTCTGCCAGAGGGAAGAAGCTGGAACATGGTTTAGCCTGGTTTAGCCTGGGCATCTTTCTGTGAAAGCCGGCACCTGGCCACATGCCTCCACAGCGACTTTCGCTTAAGCAATGCCCCACAGTCTATACAGTGCAAAAACTCACTGGATTTAACTGGGCAATTTGGCTGTTTAGCTGGGACTAAAGTTCCAATGCCGGCCTTTAAAACCTCAAAATTGTGCTCACGGTTTCCACTATTCCTGATCAAATCAAAGTGAAGTTTACGTGCTTTAGATTTCACAGGTAGAGCCAATGCTCTGGCTACGTCACTTTCATTTCCATGTTTTCTAGTCAAATGACGGGACATTTTGTGGCAGGACATTGAACAGTAGAGGCAGAAGTGTCTCTTGCTGTAAACTCGCCCCCCATTTTTCTTCTTTTGCAGCTGCATGATAACAATCTTATTTGCCTTTGGTTCGTCACTTTCCGAGTCTTGAAGAAAAGTGTTTTTGATTTTTCTTTTTCCATACTTTTTTACAGGTTTCTTCTTGACAGTTAAATCGTCAGAATCTGAGTCGACTTCATCAATTAGGGACTCTTGACTAAGCTGCACAAACAACAAATAATTTGTAATAATTGATTGACTGCGGAACCTTCCGCAGTCAACCATTGGTTTTGGTGTTCTTTATTCCGTCTTTTTCCTGATTTTTGACACGTTTCACAGCTTTCACATTTTCAACAATTTCCACAAGTTATACATCAAAACGTTCCACATGTTTGGGAGATTATTGCTATTACTTTTGGGACTTCAGCGATTTCCGGTTTTTCCGCAATCGGACAAAAATCGGTCGATTTTTCCCATTGACTTATAATGGGGCTTCCACAAATTCATATAGTTTTCAGAATTTTCTTCAACATTTTCAGCATTTTCTGCAGTTTGTGCATGTTCAGCTTCCACAACTTGTGAGTTTTCAGAAAAAATTAGAGTTCTGCAGTTTTCCAGTTTTTTTCTACGGGCTTGGGAATTCTGCCATTAATTTGCATTGAGAATTCTGCAATGCATTTTAATAGGCCCATGCATTTTAATAGGACTTCAGCTCTTTCAGACATTTCTACAGTTTCAATGATTCAACAGTTTCAAGGACTTCAACAGTTTCAAGGACTTCAGCAGTTTCAAGGACTTCAGCAGTTTCAAGGACTTCAGCAGTTTCAAGGACTTCAGCAGTTTCAAGGACTTCAGCAGTTTCAAGGACTTCAGCAGTTTCAAGGACTTCAGCAGTTTCAAGGACTTCAGCAGTTTCAAGGACTTCAGCAGTTTCAAGGACTTCAGCAGTTTCAAGGACTTCAGCAGTTTCAAGGACTTCAGCAGTTTCAAGGACTTCAGTGTAATCATGCAACCTAATAGGGATTTTTCCATGTAAACCAGTATAATGCAACTTAATAGGGGTTTTTTTTACATGTAAACCAGTATAATGCAACTTAATAGGGGTTTTTACATGTAAACCAGTATAATGCAACTTAATAGGGGTTTTTTTTACATGTAAACCAGTATAATGCAACTTAATAGGGGTTTTTTTTACATGTAAACCAGTATAATGCAACTTAATAGGGGTTTTTTACATGTAAACCAGTATAATGCAACTTAATAGGGGTTTTTTCCATGTAAACCAGTATAATGCAACTTAATAGGGATTTTTACATGTAAACCAGTATAATGCAACTTAATAGGGATTTTTCCATGTAAACCAGTATAATGCAACTTAATAGGGTTTTTTCCATGTAAACCAGTATAATGCAACTTAATAGGGGTTTTTACATGTAAACCAGTATAAAGGATAACAGTTTAAAGGATATCAGGAGCTTCAAATACTTCAGGAGTTTCAAAGATGTTTAAAGTATTTTAACAGTTTCAAGGATTTCAAGGATTTTTCAGCTAAATTCCACATTAGATCTGTTCCGCAGTCAATCGCAATGGCTTCAGCCATTGCAACGGTTTCTAGTTCTATATAACAATTTGAAGTCATGACTTGTAGTCAGCACTTACCAGTGGTTTGTAAGCGTGCGCTTCAGTGTGCTGCTCTGTGATTGGCTGCAGCCTAATGAACCACACACTTGCACCTTTTCTAGCCTGACACCTGATTTCCTCTGTTGTGCTGCTCCATGATTGGCTCCAGCCTCTGTTGTGCTGCTCCATGATTGGCTCCAGCCTCTGTTGTGCTGCTCCATGATTGGCTCCAGCCTCTGTTGTGCTGCTCCATGATTGGCTCCAGCCTGCTGGACTGAAATTGCCCCAGTGTGCCCCTCCTTGATATCCCGCAACCCACCACCAGGGTTCCGACACATAACACACTTTTTTCAGGAAAGTAAACCTCCAGGGGTCCTTTCCATATTTTTACAGAGACTGCATAAGGACCGTTAGAAAAGCATTACCCATTGATTATTAAGCTTGGACCAGTGGGGTCCGGTGTTCGGGCCCCACCACGTAAAACCAGTCCCCATGACGTGAGTGGAATCTCAGGTTATGGAACCCACCAGGAGTTGAAAACAAGTGCACCCACCCAGGTACACACACACACACCCAGGTACACACACACACACCACACACACACACACACACACACACACACACACACACACACACACACACACACACACACACACACACACACACACACACACACACAACGTTACCTGGTCAATACCTGGTATCGGGGTCCCATGGATCCGCACTCAGACAACAGCGCTCTCTGGTGGTGACTGCTGCTCATTACAAATGGATGTTCTTCACCTGTGGCGTTATTATAATAGATCCATGGTGGCGTCAGATTGGAGAGACCAGGGGCAGACATGAAATTGCTTTGGCTCAGTGCAACAGTCAGAAAAGAGAGGTAAAGAATAGAGAATAGAGTAAGGCATAATAAAAATCAGCAACACTTCTAAGGTATAACATTTAAAATAGAATTATTAAAATTACTATTTACAATATCCAAGTGCACATGGTGCACACAATGTAAGGTGACAGCAGTACAGTGAAGTAAAGTGACGTATGATGGGCAGTAAAGTGACTTTATAAAGGGCGGGGGGACAGGTTAAGAAGTGTTCAAGAGTCCAACAGCAGAGGGGAAGAAACTGTTCTTGTGGCGGGAGGTTCTAGTCCTGATGGACCGCAGCCTCCTGCCTGAGGGGAGTGGTTGGAATAGTCCATGTGCAGGTGAGAGGGGAGTGGTTGGAATAGAGCAGGTGAGAGGGGAGTGGTTGGAATAGTCCATGTGCAGGTGAGAGGGGAGTGGTTGGAATAGTCCATGTGCAGGGTGAGAGGGGAGTGGTTGGAATAGTCCATGTGCAGGTGAGAGGGGAGTGGATGGAATAGTCCATGTGCAGGGTGAGAGGGGAGTGGATGGAATAGTCCATGTGCAGGTGAGAGGGGAGTGGTTGGAATAGTCCATGTGCAGGTGAGAGGGGAGTGGTTGGAATAGTCCATGTGCAGGTGAGAGGGGAGTGGTTGGAATAGTCCATGTGCAGGTGAGAGGGGAGTGGTTGGAATAGTCCATGTGCAGGTGAGAGGGGAGTGGTTGGAATAGTCCATGTGCAGGTGAGAGGGGAGTGGTTGGAATAGTCCATGTGCAGGTGAGAGGGGAGTGGTTGGAATAGTCCATGTGCAGGTTAAAGGGGAGTGGTTGGAATAGTCCATGTGCAGGTGAGAGGGGAGTGGTTGGAATAGTCCATGTGCAGGTGAGAGGGGTCGGCTGTGATACGACCAGCCCGGCCTCGAGCTCGGGCGACGTACAGGTCCTGCAGCGATGGAAGGCTGCGGCCGATCACTTCCTCTGCAGAGCGCACAATGCACTGTAGTCTCTGTTTGTCCCTGACTGTGGCTCCAGCGAACCACACGGTGATGGAGGAGGTGCTGGAGGAGGTGATGAGGAGGTGATGAGGAGGTGATGGAGGAGGTGATGGAGGAAGTGATGGAGGAGGTGATGGAGGAGGTGATGGAGGAGGTGATGGAGGAGGTGATGGAGGAGGTGATGAGGAGGTGATGGAGGAGGTGATAAGGAGGTGAAGGAGGAGGTGATAAGGAGGTGATGGAGGAGGTGATGAGGAGGTGATGGAGGAGGTGATGGAGGAGGTGATGAGGAGGTGAAGGAGGAGGTGATAAGGTGATGGAGGAGGTGAAGGAGGAGGTGATAAGGAGGTGATGGAGGAGGTGCTGGAGGAGGTGATGGAGGAGGCGATGGAGGAGGCGGTGGAGGAGGTGGTGGAGGAGGTGATGAGGAGGTGATGGAGGAGGTGATGGAGGAGGTGATGAGGAGGTGATGGAGCAGGTGATGGAGGAGGTGATTGAGGAGGTGATGGAGGTGGTGATGGAGGAGGTGATGAGGAGGTGATGGAGGAGGTGATGGAGGAGGTGATGGAGGAGGTGGTGGAGGAGGTGATTGAGGAGGTGATGGAGGAGGTGATGGAGGAGGTGATGAGGAGGTGATGGAGCAGGTGATGGAGGAGGTGATGGAGGTGGTGATGGAGGAGGTGATAAGGAGGTGATGGAGGAGGTGATGGAGGAGGTGATGGAGGAGGTGGTGGAGGAGGTGATGGAGCAGGTGATGGAGCAGGTGATGGGGAGGTGATGGAGGAGGTGATGAGGAGGTGATGGAGGTGGTGATGGCGGAGGTGATGGAGGAGGGGAGGAGGTGATAAGGAGGTGATGGAGGAGGTGATGGAGGAGGTGATGGAGGAGGTGATGAGGAGGTGATGGAGGAGGTGATAAGGAGGTGATGGAGCAGGTGATGGAGGAGGTGATGAGGAGGTGATGGAGCAGGTGATTGAGGAGGTGATGGAGGAGGTGATGAGGAGGTGATGGAGGAGGTGATGGAGGAGGTGGTGGAGGAGGTGATGGAGCAGGTGATGGAGCAGGTGATGGGGAGGTGATGGAGGAGGTGATGAGGAGGTGATGGAGGTGGTGATGGCGGAGGTGATGGAGGAGGGGAGGAGGTGATAAGGAGGTGATGGAGGAGGTGATGGAGGAGGTGATGGAGGAGGTGATGAGGAGGTGATGGAGGAGGTGATAAGGAGGTGATAAGGAGGTGATGGAGGAGGTGATGAGGAGTTGAAGGAGGAGGTGATAAGGAGGTGATGGAGGAGGTGATGAGGAGGTGATGGAGGAGGTGGTGGAGGAGGCGATGGAGGAGGCGATGGAGGAGGGGAGGAGGTGATAAGGAGGTGATGGAGGAGGTGATGGAGGAGGTGGTGGAGGAGGCGATGGAGGAGGCGATGGAGGAGGGGAGGAGGTGATAAGGAGGTGATGGAGGAGGTGATGGAGGAGGTGATGGAGGAGGTGATGAGGAGGTGAAGGAGGAGGTGATAAGGTGATGGAGGAGGTGATAAGGAGGTGATGGAGGAGGTGCTGGAGGAGGTGATGGAGGAGGCGATGGAGGAGGCGGTGGAGGAGGTGATTGAGGAGGTGATGGAGGAGGTGATGGAGGAGGTGATGGGAAGGTGATGGAGCAGGTGATGGAGGAGGTGATTGAGGAGGTGATGGAGGTGGTGATGGAGGAGGTGATGAGGAGGTGATGGAGGAGGTGATGGAGCAGGTGATGGAGCAGGTGATGGGGAGGTGATGGAGGAGGTGATGAGGAGGTGATGGAGGTGGTGATGGCGGAGGTGATGGAGGAGGGGAGGAGGTGATAAGGAGGTGATGGAGGAGGTGATGGAGGAGGTGATGGAGGAGGTGATGAGGAGGTGATGGAGGAGGTGATAAGGAGGTGATGGAGCAGGTGATGGAGGAGGTGATGAGGAGGTGATGGAGCAGGTGATTGAGGAGGTGATGGAGGAGGTGATGGAGGAGGTGATGAGGAGGTGATGGAGGAGGTGATGGAGGAGGTGGTGGAGGAGGTGATGGAGCAGGTGATGGGGAGGTGATGGAGGAGGTGATGAGGAGGTGATGGAGGTGGTGATGGCGGAGGTGATGGAGGAGGGGAGGAGGTGATAAGGAGGTGATGGAGGAGGTGATGGAGGAGTGATGGAGGAGGTGATGGAGGAGGTGATGAGGAGGTGATGGAGGAGGTGATAAGGAGGTGATGATAAGGAGGTGATGGAGGAGGTGATGAGGAGTTGAAGGAGGAGGTGATAAGGAGGTGATGGAGGAGGTGATGAGGAGGTGATGGAGGAGGTGGTGGAGGAGGCGATGGAGGAGGCGATGGAGGAGGGGAGGAGGTGATAAGGAGGTGATGGAGGAGGTGATGGAGGAGGTGATAAGGAGGTGATGGAGGAGGTGATGGAGGAGGTGATGGAGGAGGTTGCTGGAGGAGGTGATGGCGGAGGTGATGGAGGAGGTGATGGAGGAGGTGATGGAGGAGGTGATGAGGAGGTGATGGAGGAGGTGATGGAGGAGGTGATGAGGAGGTGATGGAGGAGGTGAAGGAGGAGGTGATAAGGAGGTGATGGAGGAGGTGATGGAGGAGGTGATGGAGGAGGTGATGAGGAGGTGATGGAGGAGGTGATGAGGAGGTGATGGAGGAGGTGATGAGGAGGTGATGGAGGAGGTGATGAGGAGGTGATGGAGGTGGTGATGGCGGAGGTGATGGAGGAGGTGATGGAGGAGGTGATGAGGAGGTGATGGAGGAGGTGATGGAGGAGGTGCTGGAGGAGGTGGTGGAGGAGGCGATGGAGGAGGTGATGGAGGAGGTGATGAGGAGGTGATGGAGGAGGTGATGAGGAGGTGATGGAGGAGGTGATGAGGAGGTGATGGAGGAGGTGATGAGGAGGTGATGGAGGTGGTGATGGCGGAGGTGATGGAGGGGGTGATGGAGGAGGTGATGAGGAGGTGATGGAGGTGATGGTGGAGGTGATGGAGGAGGGGAGGAGGTGATGGAGGAGGTGATGGAGGAGGTGATGGAGGTGATGGAGGTGATGGCGGAGGTGATGGAGGAGGTGATGGAGGAGGTGATGGCGGAGGTGATGGAGGAGGTGATGAGGAGGTGATGAGGAGGTGATGGAGGAGGTGATGAGGAGGTGATGGAGGAGGCGATGAGGAGGTGATGGAGGAGGTGATGGGGAGGTGATGGAGGAGGTGATGGAGGTGGAGGAGGTGATGGAGGAGGTGATGGAGGAGGTGATGAGGAGGTGATGGAGGAGGTGATGAGGAGGTGAGAGGAGGTGATGGAGGAGGTGATGAGGAGGTGATGGAGGAGGTGATGGAGGAGGTGCTGGAGGAGGTGATGGCGGAGGTGATGGAGGAGGTGATGAGGAGGTGATGGAGGAGGTGATGGAGGAGGTGATAAGGAGGTGATGGAGGAGGTGATGGAGGAGGTGCTGGAGGAGGTGATGGCGGAGGTGATGGAGGAGGTGATGGAGGAGGTGATGAGGAGGTGATGGAGGAGGTGATGGAGGAGGTGATGAGGAGGTGATGGAGGAGGCGATAAGGAGGTGATGGAGGAGGTGATGAGGAGGTGATGGAGGAGGTGATGAGGAGGTGATGGAGGAGGTGATGAGGAGGTGATGGAGGAGGTGATGGAGGTGGTGATGGCGGAGGTGATGGAGGAGGTGATGGAGGAGGTGATGAGGAGGTGATGGAGGAGGTGCTGGAGGAGGTGGTGGAGGAGGCGATGGAGGAGGTGATGGAGGAGGTGATGGAGGAGGTGATGAGGAGGTGATGGAGGAGGTGATGGAGGAGGTGATGAGGAGGTGATGGAGGAGGTGATGAGGATGGTGATGGAGGTGGTGATGGCGGAGGTGATGGAGGGGGTGATGGAGGAGGTGATGAGGAGGTGATGGAGGAGGTGATGAGGAGGTGATGGAGGTGATGGTGGAGGTGATGGAGGAGGTGATGGAGGAGGGGAGGAGGTGATAAGGAGGTGATGGAGGAGGTGATGGAGGAGGTGATAAGGAGGTGATGGAGGAGGTGATGGAGGAGGTGCTGGAGGAGGTGATGGCGGAGGTGATGGAGGAGGTGATGGAGGAGGTGATGAGGAGGTGATGGAGGAGGTGATGAGGAGGTGATGGAGGAGGGTGATGGAGGAGGTGATGAGGAGGTGATGGAGGAGGCGATGAGGAGGTGATGGAGGAGGTGATGGAGGAGGTGATGGAGGAGGTGCTGGAGGAGGTGATGGAGGAGGTGATGGAGGTGATGGAGGAGGTGATGAGGAGGTGATGGAGGAGGTGATGGAGGAGGTGATGAGGAGGTGATGGAGGAGGTGCTGGAGGAGGTGATGGCGGAGGTGATGGAGGAGGTGATGCAGGAGGTGATGAGGAGGTGATGAGAAGGTGATGGAGGAGGTGATGGAGGAGGTGATAAGGAGGTGATGGAGGAGGTGATGGAGGAGGTGATGGAGGAGGTGATGGAGGAGGTGATGGAGGAGGTGCTGGAGGAGGTGATGGCGGAGGTGATGGAGGAGGTGATGGAGGAGGTGATGAGGAGGTGATGAGGAGGTGATGGAGGAGGTGATGAGGAGGTGATGGAGGAGGTGATGAGGAGGTGATGGAGGAGGTGATGAGGAGGTGATGGAGGAGGCGATGAGGAGGTGATGGAGGAGGTGATGGAGGAGGTGCTGGAGGAGGTGATGGAGGAGGTGATGGAGGAGGTGATGGCGGAGGTGATGGAGGAGGTGATGAGGAGGTGATGGGGAGGTGATGGAGGAGGTGATGGAGGAGGTGATGAGGAGGTGATGGAGGAGGTGATGGAGGAGGTGATGAGGAGGGATGGAGGAGGTGATGGAGGAGGTGATGAGGAGGTGATGGAGGAGGTGATGGAGGAGGTGATGAGGAGCTGATGGAGGAGGTGATGGAGGAGGTGATGAGGAGGTGATGGAGGAGGTGATAAGGAGGTGATGATAAGGAGGTGATGGAGGAGGTGATGAGGAGTTGAAGGAGGAGGTGATAAGGAGGTGATGGAGGAGGTGATGAGGAGATGATGGAGGAGGTGGTGGAGGAGGCGATGGAGGAGGCGATGGAGGAGGGGAGGAGGTGATAAGGAGGTGATGGAGGAGGTGATGGAGGAGGTGCTGGAGGAGGTGATGGCGGAGGTGATGGAGGAGGTGATGGAGGAGGTGATGGAGGAGGTGATGAGGAGGTGATGGAGGAGGTGATGGAGGAGGTGATGAGGAGGTGATGGAGGAGGTGAAGGAGGAGGTGATAAGGAGGTGATGGAGGAGGTGATGGAGGAGGTGATGGAGGAGGTGATGGAGGAGGTGATGAGGAGGTGATGGAGGAGGTGATGAGGAGGTGTGATGGAGGAGGTGATGAGGAGGTGATGGAGGAGGTGATGAGGAGGTGATGGAGGTGGTGATGGCGGAGGTGATGGAGGAGGTGATGGAGGAGGTGATGAGGAGGTGATGGAGGAGGTGATGGAGGAGGGGCTGGAGGAGGTGGTGGAGGAGGCGATGGAGGAGGTGATGGAGGAGGTGATGAGGAGGTGATGGAGGAGGTGATGAGGAGGTGATGGAGGAGGTGATGAGGAGGTGATGGAGGAGGTGATGAGGAGGTGATGGAGGTGGTGATGGCGGAGGTGATGGAGGGGGTGATGGAGGAGGTGATGAGGAGGTGATGGAGGAGGTGATGGAGGTGATGGTGGAGGTGATGGAGGAGGGGAGGAGGTGATAAGGAGGTGATGGAGGAGGTGATGGAGGAGGTGATGGAGGAGGTGATAAGGAGGTGATGGAGGAGGTGATGGAGGAGGTGCTGGAGGAGGTGATGGCGGAGGTGATGGAGGAGGTGATGAGGAGGTGATGAGGAGGTGATGAGGAGGTGATGGAGGAGGCGATGAGGAGGTGATGGAGGAGGTGATGGAGGAGGTGATGGAGGAGGTGCTGGAGGAGGTGATGGAGGAGGTGATGGAGGAGGTGATGGAGGAGGTGATGAGGAGGTGATGGAGGAGGTGATGAAGGAGGTGATGGAGGAGGTGATGAGGAGGTGATGGAGGAGGTGATGGAGGAGGTGCTGGAGGAGGTGATGGCGGAGGTGATGGAGGAGGTGATGAGGAGGTGATGGAGGTGATGGAGGAGGTGATAAGGAGGTGATGGAGGAGGTGATGGAGGAGGTGCTGGAGGAGGTGATGGCGGAGGTGATGGAGGAGGTGATGAGGAGGTGATGGAGGAGGTGATGAGGAGGTGATGGAGGAGGTGATGGAGGAGGTGATGGAGGAGGTGATGAGGAGGTGATGGAGGAGGTGATGAGGAGGTGATGGAGGAGGTGATGAGGAGGTGATGGAGGAGGTGATGAGGAGGTGATGGAGGTGGTGATGGCGGAGGTGATGGAGGAGGTGATGGAGGAGGTGATGAGGAGGTGATGGAGGAGGTGCTGGAGGAGGTGGTGGAGGAGGCGATGGAGGAGGTGATGGAGGAGGTGATGAGGAGGTGATGGAGGAGGTGATGGAGGAGGTGATGAGGAGGTGATGGAGGAGGTGATGAGGAGGTGATGGAGGTGGTGATGGCGGAGGTGATGGAGGGGGTGATGGAGGAGGTGATGAGGAGGTGAGGGAGGAGGTGATGAGGAGGTGATGGAGGTGATGGTGGAGGTGATGGAGGAGGTGATGGAGGAGGGGAGGAGGTGATAAGGAGGTGATGGAGGAGGTGATGGAGGAGGTGATGGAGGAGGTGATGGAGGAGGTGCTGGAGGAGGTGATGGCGGAGGTGATGGAGGAGGTGATGGAGGAGGTGATGAGGAGGTGATGGAGGAGGTGATGAGGAGGTGATGGAGGAGGTGATGAGGAGGTGATGGAGGAGGCGATGAGGAGGTGATGGAGGAGGTGATGGAGGAGGTGATGGAGGAGGTGCTGGAGGAGGTGATGGAGGAGGTGATGGAGGAGGTGATGAGGAGGTGATGGAGGAGGTGATGGAGGAGGTGATGAGGAGGTGATGGAGGAGGTGATGGAGGAGGTGCTGGAGGAGGTGATGGCGGAGGTGATGGAGGAGGTGATGGAGGAGGTGATGAGGAGGTGATGAGAAGGTGATGGAGGAGGTGATGGAGGAGGTGATAAGGAGGTGATGGAGGAGGTGATGGAGGAGGTGATGGAGGAGGTGATGGAGGAGGTGATGGAGGAGGTGCTGGAGGAGGTGATGGCGGAGGTGATGGAGGAGGTGATGGAGGAGGTGATGGAGGAGGTGATGAGGAGGTGATGAGGAGGTGATGGAGGAGGTGATGAGGAGGTGATGGAGGAGGTGATGAGGAGGTGATGGAGGAGGTGATGAGGAGGTGATGGAGGAGGCGATGAGGAGGTGATGGAGGAGGTGATGGAGGAGGTGCTGGAGGAGGTGATGGAGGAGGTGATGGAGGAGGTGATGGAGGAGGTGATGAGGAGGTGATGGAGGAGGTGATGGAGGAGGTGATGGAGGAGGTGATGAGGAGGTGATGGAGGAGGTGATGGAGGAGGTGCTGGAGGAGGTGATGGCGGAGGTGATGGAGGAGGTGATGAGGAGGTGATGGAGGAGGTGATGGAGGAGGTGATGAGGAGGTGATGGAGGAGGTGATGGAGGAGGTGATGAGGAGGTGATGGAGGAGGTGATGGAGGAGGTGATGAGGAGGTGATGAGGAGGTGATGGAGGAGGTGATGGAGGAGGTGATGAGGAGCTGATGGAGGAGGTGATGGTGGAGGTGATGGAGGAGGTGAGGATGGACTCGATGATGGCCGTGTAGAACTGCAGCTTGGCTTTCCTGAGCTGCCGCAGGAAGTACAGCAGGAGGAGCGGGTGGAGCGGGTGGAGCTGGGAGAGCTTGTCCTGGAGCAGGGATGGCAGGATTGTGTTGAAGGCAGAGCTGAAGTCCACGAACAGGACCCTGGCGTAGGTCCCCGGGGAGTCCAGGTGCTGTAGGATGTGGTGGAGGGCCAATCAATCAAAGTTTATTTGTATAGCACTTTACAACAACACCAGGAGGACCAAAGTGCTTCACAGAATGAAAACAACCAAGACACAATTCAGTGTGCCCTAAGTATTAAAAGCAAGTTTAAAAAGATGAGTCTTTAATCTGGACTTAAAAAGGGACAGTTCCGTGAGAACACGCAGACTGAGTGGCAAGCTGTTCCACAGTTTAGGCGCTGCAACCCTGAAGGAACGTTCGCCCCACTGTTTGTAGTGGGACCTGGGCACATCCAGAACCATTTGATTGGCAGACCGGAGAGCTCTGCTGGGGCAATGTACGGTCAACAACTCAGTTAAATATAACGGAGCGAGACCATGAAGAGCTTTAAAAACAAGCATTAACATTTTAAAATCAATCCGAAAACGGACCGGGAGCCAGTGCAGGGAGGAGAGGACAGGAGTGATGTGGCTGTATCTAGCACAGGGGTCGGGAACCCAAAATGTTCAAAAAGCCATAATTGACACAAAAACTAAAAACAACATCTGTCTGGAGCCGCAAAAAAATAACATCCTTGTATAAGGCTTTACAAGTTAACACAGGCTGCAAGATGTATTAGCTATATTAGCCTAATATCTAAATGACAAAGTAAAGGCTACAAATACATAATAATCATTCATGATTATCAAATGTGTATTTTCACTGCAGCGTGTCGCACCACGCGTGTCCTGAATGACGCAACACGGGACAACTCTGCTTTAGTTTAACTTACATTTTTTTGCCTTCATGCAATTGTAGAAATACAGTAAATAAATCTGCTTTGGGGTCAGAGGTCACATACCTGCATCACTGTCTGTTCATATCCATCACGTCACAGGCTGAAGTTTGCTGGAGCTGAATTAAAATCCTTAATGGCCTTTTCTTTCACAGTCTTTGAGAAGGTTTTGAAGTCTGAAAATAGGGGCTCTGAATTTTTGATGAATGAATCCTTCACGTAATCACCGTTTACGTCGTTTTGCGCGTCATTGTTCCTCGTGTTGCAACAAAACTTTTCATTACAAACATGAAGCAGTCCTTCCTCATTGACTGAAAGAAAATGTTCATTCTCATTCTTAGTCCAGTCTTGTTATCGAATCTTTCTCGTTTTAGCTTTGGGATCCATGTGCACTAGTCTATGATGCTCACACGCCGGTTTGTTTACAGCAGCGGCCGCATGGGGCGGGGCCGCGTGACGGCGCGTCATAGGATATGACGCACTACGTTGACAGAAATGTTGAAATTAAATATTACTTATACACATTTTTACAGCATTTAAAAACGTAAAGATTGTTTTTCCTTCTACAGAAACCACATTCAAACTAGAAATAAAATATAGCCCTCACACTTCATTTTCAGACATTTTTGAAAAGGCTCCAGGAGCCACTCCAGGAGCACTCAAGAGCCGCATGCGGCTCCGGAGCCGCGGGTTGCCGACCCCTGATCTAGATGAACCGGTGAGAAGACGGGCTGCTGCATTCTGCACCAACTGTAACCGGTTGAGTGACGACTGTGGGAGGCCAGAGTAGAGAGCGTTGCAATAGTCCAACCGAGAACTGATAAATGCGTGCGTTGCCTTCTCGAGGTCTTGGCGTGAGAGAAAGGGCTTCACCTTGGTCAAAAGGCGCAGCTGGAAAAAGCTGGCTTTGACAACAGCATGTATTTGTTGTTTAAAGTTCAGTTCCCGGTCAAAAACAACTCCCAGGTTCCTGACGGCATCACGGACTGGACCCACGACCCTGGACTGAAACTGAGGAACATCCCCGGAGCCAAAAATAATGAATTCGGATTTTGTTTCATTGAGGTGGAGGAAATTCTGCGTGAGCCATTGTTTAATGTCCGAAAGGCAGTGGTGGAGGGAGTCAAGGGCAGTGGCAGTGTTAGGGAGCACTGGTAAATAAACCTGGACATCGTCAGCATAAAGATGGAATGATAAATTATGTCTGGCAATGATGGACCCGAGCGGCAGCATTTAAAGTGAGAACAGGACCGGGCCAAGGATGGAACCCTGTGGCACCCCAGATGACAGCGGGGTGGAGGAGGAGGAATAGTCATCGACCATCACAACAAAGCTCCGGTCAGTCAGGTAGGACCTGAACCACTGCAGGACCGTGACCTGAACACCAACATGCTCTGCCAGCCGGGAGAGGAGAACTGAGTGGTCCACGGTGTCAAACGCCGCAGTCAGGTCCAGCATCATCAAAAGCACTGGCTGCTTCGAATCCAAAGACAGCAGAATGTCGTTGTGCACTCTAAGAAGAGCTGACTCCGTGCTGTGACGCGATCTGAAGCCTTGTCAGGATTTAGCAGACAGAGACGGATCGTGGTGTGCCAAACTCTGGAAGTTTATTTACGTTTCTCTCAAGTTCCACTGGTTTACTCTGTTTCTTTCTCTCAGACAGAATAAAGGCAGTACACAGTTTATATAGTCATTGTCACGTCACACATCGAAAGACATACGTGTCACAAAGAGACAGTCACATCATAGTCATAACATGGAGTCCTTGTAGAGTCCTTGTACAGTCCTGCACGTAGGCCATATTGCTATCTAATACTAATACCCTCCCCTTTGATCACATAATCACATGTGATCACTCAAATCGATCAATCAATAAAGTGGAAAAATAAAAAATAAAAAAAAATAAAATCCAAAAAAAAACTTCAAAAAATTATTAAAAACAAAGAAAATGTATGCATTAAACTCATAATCATCAAATCAATATCAGTGGATTTTATCCTCCATCCTGGGAAAAAATAAACAACAAACAAAAACAAATCAAAAAAATAAAAACAAACAAACACTATTGGACACACAAGAACTCAGCAGATTCAGTCAAAACACAGACAAAAACGAGCTGAGTCTCAATTTTGAAGCTAATTTCACTTTTATTACTCTATACTTTTATTCTAATGCTGATTGTTTACACTACACTTCACTTATTTCACTGTATTATTTTCACTTTTCAATCTTAGACTGTGTACTTTACTCTCTATTCACTATAGTTTAAAACTATTCTAATCTATTTACAAATATGTTTGCATATTTGATTCTATTGAGCCATATTCTTAAACATACATTTTAATCTAACAAATCTCTCTGTGGTTTTATACTCTCATTATCAGTGGCTTATTGTTAGTGGGATTTGGTTCTATCTCTCTTCTACATTCTCAGGAATAAAACTGTGAACACAGTAAGGCAAATGGTCAACATTTACACTTCTATAGTGGTCAGTGATTTATTACTTTTTATTATCTAAAGATATTATTGTCAGGCAGTTTGGGATGAATGTACATCATTAATCAAATTAGTATTATCCTTACAAGAGCTAATCTATTTTAGCAGGTTTGGGGTTGGGGTCAGTTATTCTACAATGGTGTTTGTGCTGGAAACTTCTCAATATCTAAATATCTACTATTGTGTTTTTGTGCTATACACAAATACATCAAAATGCTTTTAAATGCTTTTGAATCTCTGTTGGTGCTAATCTATCTCATTAATCTAGGCTACACTCATATGGACTTTTTGCATAGTCAACATTCACTCATGTTTGAACACAAGTGAATTTGGCAAGTATCTAATAAAACTGTACATAAACTGTAATTAACTTTATCTACTTTTGAAGTAAATGCTTGTGAAATGGTCCCTTTACCATTTGATATTAGCACTGGCTAGAAATAATCTCTATTTTTGAAAGCATCTATGGTTGATGTCTCTATTTCTACACTATTGTGGCTCTAAAGCTTGGTTGCAGCTTGAGTCAAGGCATATTTCTACTCTAACTCTTATGTGGAAATGTTTATTAACAACAAAGGAAGGACAATTCTACTTTTTTACTACTACTAAAAACGCTACAATACTAATACTTTATCATTTTAAAAGTTTTTGTCTGTCAGATGTCTGAATACTTAACTGGTGGGCGGATAAACTGTTCCCACACTACTACATTCACCCCCCAAAAAAGGAGCGATCGGATGTATGTATATTGCATTTGGTCACAGGTTGTGGTTCTGGTTGCACTTACACACACGGGCAGGATTCCACCCTGCCGCTGCGTCCCTCAAGGAGTCAGGCACCGTCTCTGCTTGGGTCCAGCTCCGCCCCTGGGCCAAAGGACGAAACGGCAGCCCACCAGCCGAACACACAGACGCAAGAGGACCCACAAAATGATCTTATCGCAACCCGCTACAACGACTTAGAGGTACTTACAGGCACGGCAGGGATTCCACCCTGCCTGCGTGTAGTCAACGTCACGGTGCTCGTTCCCCGGGTCCAGGTGCTCCTCGGACCGCCGCTTCCCTCTCCACCCGCTTGAGACAACAAGAGCCGAGCCTGTACACCGTACAATCAGCTTCGCCAGCTGCTGGGCCTGAGGCTCTCATGGTCTGCCCAGCTTATCCACAGAGCGTTACCTCACAGACAAAGGCAGAGCTTTCTCGCTCTGCCGCTGGCGTGGATAGGGCCGCTGGGGCAGGCCTGGGGCATGCTCGGTCCGGTCTTGTTAGAGCCGTGGTCCACGCGTTGTCCGCATGTGGCTCTTGTTTAGGTTCCGTTCTTTCGTTCCGTTCCGTTCCGTTGCCCGCGCTGCTCTGTCCGTTTCACTGCCGCTTTTATTCCCTGCTCCCTCATCAAGCGGCAGAGTGCTCTAATTGTGTGGCGCAAAGGATTGGGCAACAGCCGTCCATGAGGCTCTGCGGCATGTCTCCAGTGGCGCAGGATAAATGTTAAATCACCATGCATATAAAAACACCACCTGGCAAACTAAAACAAAACAGTCCTCTCCCACATGCGGATCACTCCCCCCCACACTTTGTCGTTGGCAGTCCTGCAACTGCACACAACTAGTCTCTAAAGCGGGCAGGTGTTGTCTAAGTTTACACGCACAGAATGGCGGGGTACATTTTCAGGGTCCACGGGTGGCGGCTCAGGTGCTGCCGGTGGAAATCCATAAACAATTGGAGATCGAATTCTTGTGCTGGAGGGGATTGTTCATTGTGCACCGGGGTTGGTTCCGATGCGAGTGGAGGGGCGTGCATACCTTCAGCGCATTCCGGTGTTACAGTCTGTTCGCGACCACCCTTCTCGGGCCGCACTCTATACACAACTTTCCCGTATCCCCCACACAGCTCAAAATGACATGGGGATGTGGAATCCCCCCCCCCCCCCCCCCCCCACCCCCCCCCCACCAAGTCCCAAGCTTACCCCTACCCTCCCGGCTCTATTTCGCAGCCATACACGTTCACCAGGTACCAGAGCAACGTTTAAGCCCTTTTATCCAACTGCTGTTTGTATTGGGAGGCCGAATTAGCTGCTCTTTGACCGCGCAGGTTGTAAGCGAAAGTTAAGTCTGTGACGGTGGTCCTTTACCATCCTCGGGGTCCAAATGAGGCGTCTGGAGGCTTACCCTCAAGCGGACGTCACAGGAAGTCGAAGGTGCCTACCAAACATAAGAAGGAGGGGGCCATAGCCAGTGGCACTGTGCATTGTGTTATTATAGGCGTGGATCAACTCAGGCAGTATAGTGCTGCAAACAGCGTCGCTTTTTCCTCTTCGGGAACGAAGCATGTGGCAACAGCGTTTGTTTGAACGTGTCGACACTACCATTACAGGCGGGATGATCTCGCGTTTGTGCGGCCTTTTGGCTATGCGTACATGTCGCAGAGTATGCTGCATTAGGGCAGACTCAAAATAGGGACCACGGTCAGAATGAAGCGCGATGGACAGCCAACCTGCTGTATAATGCTTCCAAAGCATCTTACCAGTGGTTTGTGCGGACTGATCGGTGGTTAGCTATGGCCCACGCAAAAACGGGGTGAAACAGGTCAGTAGCAACGAGATGTTCTGGTATGGTATCGTGGTCCGACCTAAAGTAAAAAGTCTACACCCAATAACTTCAAGCGGATAGGTAGTGCATTGGGTGAAGGGGCGCTTACGGCTCAATGCGGCTTTTCATGCAGGAAACACCAACACTTCTTTCTGTAGCTTGGTACCTCCCCCCTCCATGCCAGGCCAGTAAAACTGCTGCCGAATCCGGGCCCGGGTCTCGTCAGCTCCAGACATGTGCCCCAGCCTCGTGTAAGTCCTTCTCAGGACTCGTTCCACCTGGAACTCGGACACACAAACCTGATTGGTTGCCTCCTAGTGAGTTTAGGCCATCGACAATAACTGCGATACAGTACATTGTCATTTACCAACAACCTTTTCCACTGCTTCAGGAGCTTCTTGGACTTTTATGGGAGTGCCAGGCTGATCTGAGCAATTAGGGAAGTTTCCCCTGGCGACTAGCCTCCTTGACCAGCGGATAGTTGGGTCAGAGAGTTGGTCCGTCTTTCCACTCGAGACATAGGGTATGACCTCGACATCGCCTGTGTTGGTCAGGCACGTGCCTTCACAGGACAGGGGAATCTGGGATCAGTTGCATCCAGCATTGGGCGTTACTTTTACCTGAGCGATTACTGTACAGTGTAGTTAACTGAAGCAAGCCGTGCCCACCCAGCGTTGCTCCACTGCCCGACGGTGCGCTGTTTGTAGGTGGGCCAAGGGTTAATTGTCGGGGTATATCCATGACCTCCGCTCCCTGTAAGAAAGTCTTTAACTTTTTCAGTCCCCGGCCCATTAAGGGCTAGGAGTTCGATTTTAAGGAGCTATAGCTTAGCATCATTCTGTTCTGTGGGGTGTAGGCTTCTGCTAGCGAATGCATCACCACGTTCATGTCCATTTTGCAGCTGTGATAACACTGCGCCAAGTCCTGGTTGCTTGCGTTTGGTATACGATAATAGGTTATCGTATTCGCGCATAGGCTAAGGACTGGGGCCTGTGTAGGGGCCGCTTTTCAGGGCATCAAAGGAGTCTGACACTCTGGGGTCATACCACCTTTCTAGATTGTGACCTTTTATCAGCTGGAATCCCCGTGAGGAGCTGTTAAGGGGTCGTGCAATTTTGCAAATCCGCTACAAATCGTCTGTGTACCCTGCTAGACCGAGGGACGCTTCTAACCTGTTTGAATAGTTGTTGGAACTGGGCCACTCCATCACTGCCTCAATCTTTCCAGGGTCGGGTCGCACACCATGCTTGTCCACCACATGTCCAAAGAAATGTCACCTCCCTCTTGTTAGAAGCTTACATTTATCTGGACGCAGTTTAGCCCATGGCGCCACGTCTCTCGAACACCTGATCGAGATGCTGGAGGTGGGAAGAAAAGTTTGGAGAGTAAATGATGATGTCGTCCAAATACACCAGTAGCGACTCGCTATTTGGCATTTAGACACTGCTGCCTTAGTCGCTGGAACGTGGCTGGTGCATTGCAAAAGTCCAAACGGCAATACGCACAATTAGTATAGTCCCAGTGGCGTGTAAAAGCCAGCTTTTCTTGGTCATCCGGGTGCATTTCGACTTGCCAGTAGCCCCTGCAAGGTTAAAGTAGAGAACCATTCGACTGGCTAGACTGGTCAGTGTTTCCTCTTTCTGGGCAGTGGAAAGCTCCCTTGTGGGTTACAGCGTTTCAGCTTCCGATAGTCAACACAAAAGCGCCAGTGTCGTTTTTTTACGCCCCAATACTTTCGGAGCCGCCAAGGGCTAACAACTCCTCTTTAACAACACCTTTCTCTAACATACCCGAGAGGAGGGTCTTCACCTCTTAGTACAGCATGGGAGGGATTGGCCGGTCCCTTCCCGAATGGGGGCAGCATCGCCTGTAAGAATTCTGCTGCTGCATCGGTTGTCCGGACCAAATCCTCTCGTGCTGTGAAAAAACTTGTTCCACTTCTGCAGCAGGGCCTTTAGCTCCCTCTGCTGTTGGTCAGAAAGGTCAGGTCTGTTTCTCAAACATGCTAGTACCTTCAGATTGTCCTGGGCGGCTAGGGGACGCTGCACAACCTTACTCTGGTGACTACTCCAAACCCGTCGTCTCCAGGGAGAGGGACAAAAACTATGGGGGCCCTGCACATCCGCTTCATCAATTTGAACAGTCGGCCTATTTACTGAACGCCCTAGGGTATGTTATAGGGGGTGTGGCATTAAAAACATCGCACTGCACCTCCCTTGTTTAACTCAACTAGAGCCTTGCAAACCCAACAATCACTGGCGCCCACTCAAGCCGCGGCTCCCTTTTTTCTTATCCTTTCTGTTTTTTTTTTTCACCAGGGCACATGTCCTATTCGATGGATTCCTCTTTGTGCGGGCCCACCACCCATCTCACTCTTTGAGGGCAACAACTTTGCTTTGCCGCCAATCTAACAAAATCCAACCAGCCCGTCTTTGCAGGGAAAATTCATATGGCGGCAAGGGCAAATGATCTCTCCACACTTTTCTGGGTTTTAAACTGGGCAGTCGGAGACGACGTGGCAGGGCAGTTAACTTTTAAGTTTTGTGTCCAAAACAGGCCATGCTAACATTCATGCCTACAATGATGGGTGGTGCACTTCACCGCCTCTACAATCACCACCCTCGACAGGGATTTGACCCGCCTCAACTCTAGGTCAAGCACTGCATAGCCAGTAGACTGGTATCTCTAGCCCATTTGGCTCTGAAGCCTAAACAACGTAGGGGCCTTTCCCAGCTTAGCTTGGGTGACGTGCTCATTAAAATGCTTTCCGCCTCATCCGGTGTTACCTGAGACCAGTGTCTAACAGCCCCCTCCAACAGTACACCCTCGACTCTTAACTGTACCTTAGGACACTGACCAACAAACGTCTCCGGGCCCTGGTTGGCATATAAACTGGCCATCTGAAACATGCTGCGCGACGCAGCGGCAGGAGTCTCTAGTTTAAAGCTGGTTCAGGGGTTACAACGCCTCTACAAGTACCGAGCTGATATGGCCTGCCTTTCTTACACCGGTTGCAAATGGGCCTACCTGGGCATTCGGTCGTTGTACCGAGAGGTCCGAGGGTGTGGACGCCTAGTCCTGTTGGGATTAGGTGGGCTGGGTTGTGGCGAAGCAGTCTGCAGCAGCGGCTTGAGCTCTGCCACTATTTCTTGTGTTATTCCCCTTGATTTGCATTTTGACGTCTCCATGATCTCACGCTTCAATTGCTCCTTCCAATGGGGTTCTGGGGCAGTCTAGGAGAAGTGTATTGTTTAGTATTTACGGAGCATGTTAACCCTGGTTCAGCTCGGCCATACTCCGACGCCAACAGCACGCCTCTTGGCGAAGGTTGAAAATTCCAACTACCGGGTTCCGACCGAGCAAATAACTTTAAGAGCTTGGGAGAAAGGGGGCCATCACGGGCCCAGCAGCAGCGGTCTTCGCAAGGCACTTCAGAGGGGGAGTCTTCGGATCTAAGCGTTTGTGCCTACAATATCATTCACGCAGTCGCAAGATGTAAAAACGCGGAACGTTTCGGCGCGCTTGTGGGTGTTTCGTGTCGCTTTTTTCCTTAGGGCCTTCTGGTACAGCTAAAAAAATTGTGCCCTCAAAACCGGTATAGCCCCCCCGAGTTCGGTCACCTATAAAGAATCAAGTAGACAACTATTTTTGCCACCTGGTCCTTTCGTCCCGCATCTAAAACTGCAACTTGTCGCTTTGCCTCCTCTGCTAGTGCTCCCAATAAAATACCAACTTTCCTTGCCTTGGAAAGTCTGGAAACCCAAAAGTCCTTTGATTTGCTCTTTTCCAATTCACCCATATTTTAAATCACAGTCTGGCCCTTTAATTTTGGGAGCCATGGCGCTCCAGGGTTATACCGGCATCATCATGTTTGCTCTTTTTTGGGACACACAGCTCTTTCGGAATGGATCCTGTCAGCAACGCAGATTATTAATGAGGGGGGGTTTGCTTATTGGGGTTGGAACGATTGAGTGGGCGCCGCCCCCCCCCCTGGGGGGGGGTAGAGATAGATAGTGGGGGCAACCCACACACCCCCCCCCCCCCCCCCGCCCCCCCCCCCCCCCCCCCGGGGGGGGGCTGGAGTTCGAATTAAAAACAGTTATGGCAGTGTAGGGGTGTGACCAAAAAAGAGACAGAGCAAACTGTTAAAAAACAAAATAGTTTATTGCAATAAATTAAAAACAGGGATAAAAAGTCTTTAAAATGTGATAAATAGGTCCCGAGCGCAGGGGGGGCCCTCTTCAGGGAGACTGTGCACAAAAACAAAAGCCGGCAGGAACTAATCCTCCACGTTTTGAATTTACCGAGGGAACAACGGGCGGGCACTTACACACACGGCAGGGATCCACCCTGCGCTGAGTCCCGCGAGAGGCAGGCACCGTCTCCTGCTTGCGGGTCCAGCTCAGCCCTGGGCACAAGGACGAAACGGCCGCTACCACACAGCGAACACACAAGCAAGAGACCCCACAAAATGATCTTATAGCACCGCGACAACGACTCGCGGTAACTTACAGGGCACGGCAGGGATTCTACCCTGCCGCTGCGTGTAGTCAACGTCACGGTGCTCTGCCCGGGGCAGGTGCTCCTCGGACCGCCGGCTTCCTCTCCACCACGCGTAGACACAGAGCAGACAGTACACAGTACAAACTAGCTTCGCCAGCCTGCTGGGGCCTGATGGCTCTCCTGCTTGCACAGCTTTATCCACAGAGCGTTACTCACATGACAAGGCAGTGCTTTCTCGCTCTGCCGCTGCGTGGATAGGCTCGCTGGTGCAGCCTGGGGGATGCTCGGTCCGGGCTTGTAGAGCCGTGGTCTCCACGCGGTGGTCCTCTAGTGGCCTCTTGGGTGTACGGTGCCGTTTATCCGTTCCGTTCCCCCTTTTTTTTCCCTTTTGGCCCCCTCCCCCCCCTCTTGTCGCCCCCCCCCCCCCAGTTGCCCTGCGCTCTCTCTGTCCGTTTCACCTGCCCTTATATCCCTGCTCCCTATCAAGCGCAGGTGCTCTAATTGTGTGGCGCACAGGATTGGGTCAACAGCGTTCCATGAGGGCTCTGCCGGCATGTTTCTCCAGCTGGAGCAGGACTAAATGTTATAAACACCCATGCATATAAAAACACCATGCAAACTAAAACAAATACATGTCCTCTCCTACATGCCGGATCACACTAGTTATTACAACAGGTAACAGGAAGGCATATTAAATGTTTAAAAGTAGGGCCGGCACTTTAACGCGTAATTACGTTCAATTAACGGCCACAATAAATTAGTGCGTTTTAAAAAAAATTAACGCATTTTATTGCATGTGTTTTGTCCACCGCGGAACCGTTCCTCAAGGGAGGATATTGTTCTCGACGGGACGATTATACTGGCCGCACCAACTAGAGCTCCGTGACTTTTCTTGTTCAAAAAGTCCATTTATAACATGCAATAGACCAATTTTAGCAGTCTGAGTCGTGGAGTGAGTGAGTTAGAGACCGGGGAAAGAGCGCTGTCAATATTAGTGTATGTTACATGGATTATTAGGTCTGTGCAGACAGGCTAGGCCGTGGCTAGCTCCGGTCGCCCCGCAGCCCGAAGTAACCATTCACATGAACCGGACATTTTAGGACACTTTTAAGAGGATTCTGATTATGGATATAGGTTGTGTAGATAAATGAGATAACTCCCTGCTGATGGTCGAAATTATATGTTTCGTTGTTCATGTAGTTCCAGAGAGTTTTTGAACTAGCTAGCTTAGTGTTACCTGCCTAGCACAATCAAGCCCGGCGATCCAAGGATGGCGCCCTATTCAAATGAATGGTTGTGCTTTAGTGGCCGCTTTGTGACCGGCATGGGGGCTGAAAGATTAGCGGGAAGTCGCCTGGAACTCGCTGTAGTTTCTACGCTTTAATACAGGTCTGGGACAGAGTGAAGGAGACCACGGGCAAGGGCCAGAGGCGGAGGTGGTGTGCTTTTTAATTAATCAGCGCTGGATGCACGGCACTCGAAATCGTGAACCAAAATATACTTGCCATTATGGAAGGCCTGGTCTTGAGCTAGCCGCCCCGTTTTATCTTCCCCGTGAGATTAAACAACGGGGCGGGGCGGGCAGCTCAAGGACCCGGCATTTCCAGATTGGCGTAGTATATGTTTTGCGTTCACGATTCGAGTGTCCGTGCACCAGCCGCTGATTAATTAAAAAGCACACACCTCCGCCTCTGGCCTTGCCCGTGGTCTCCTTCACTCTGTCCGCGCGACCTTTATTAAAGCTGTAGAAACTTCAGCGTGTTCCCCCCCCCAGGCGACTTCGCTAAGCTTTTTTTACAGCCCCCATGCCGTCACAAAAGCGCCCACTAAGCCAACATTATTTGAATAGGGCGCCATCTTGGATCGCCGGCGGCTTGATTGTGCTAGGCGCGTATCAGCTAAGCTATGCTAGTTCAAAAAAACTCTTCTGGAACTTCCATGCAACGAAACAACAAAATAATTCTTGACCCACTCAGCAGGGAGTTACCATTTATCTACACCCCTATCTTCCCATAATCAGATCCTCTTTAAAATGTGTCCTTACAATCGTCCGTTTCATGTGGAATGGTTACGTCGGGCTAGCGGGGCTACGGAGCTACGCCTCGGGCTAGCCTGTCTGCACAGACCATAAATAGATCCATGGTACAGACCAAGTATTGACAGCGCTTTTCCCGTCTCTAACTCACTCATTCACTTACTCAGATGCTAAAATTGGTCTATGCTTGGTATAAAGTACTTTTGTACAAGAAAAGTCAACGGAGCTCAGTGGGGTTGCGCCAGTATAATCGGTCTCCGTCCTGAAACATATCCTCCAGTGAGGAACGTTCCCGCGGTGGGACTAAAACACATGCAATTAAAATGCGCTTATTTTTTTTAACGCACTAATTTTGTGCCGTTAATTAATCGTAATTACGCTGTTAAAGTTGCCCGCGCCCTCCTTTTAACATTAATATGCCTTCCTGTTACCTTTGCTGTGTATATACTAGTGTGCATCGGCCAATGGGGAGTGAGGACATGTTTTGTTTTTAGTTTGAGTGGTGTTTTTTATATGCATGGGTGTTGTTTTAACATTTTAGTCCTGCTCCAGTGTGGAGACATGCGCCAGGCCCCGTGACGCTGTTGCCCAATCTGTTGCGACACAATGTAGCGCACCTGGCGCTTGATGAAGGGAGCAGGGAACTATAAGGGCAGGTGAAAACGGCCCGATGAAGAGAGCGCCAGGGGCACCGGAACGGAACGTGAAAGGCCACCGGTAAAACAAAGAGTCCTGAGGACAACGCGTGGAGGAAGACCACGGTCTACAAAGACGGAGCCGAGCAGGGACCCAGGCTGCCAGCGAGCCCTATCCACGCAGCGCAGAGCGAGAAAGCGTCTGCCTGGGTCTCTGTGAGTAACGCTCTGTGGATAAGCTGGTCAACCAGGAGAGCCTCAGGCCCCAGCAGCTGGCGACAGCTTGTTTGTTACTGTGTACTGGCTCTGCTCTTTGTCTAGAGCGTGGTGGAGAAGGGAAGCGGCGGTCCGAGGACGGCATAACCCTGACCCGGGGAGGAAGAGCACCGTGACGTTGACTACCGCAGCGGCCAGGGTGGAATCCCTGCCGTGCCTGTAAGTCCCTCTAGTCGTGTGTGCGGTGCTTATAAGATCATTTCTGTGGGTCTCGGCTTGTCGTGTTCTTTGGGCTCTGTGTGGGTGCGCGTTTCGTTTCCTTGTGCCAGGTGGGCGGAGCTGGACCGCAAAGCAGGAGACGGTTGCCTGACTCTCGAGGGACGCAGCGGCAGGGTGGATCCCTGCCGGTGTTGTGTTATGTAAGTGCCCGCCCGTTGTCCCCTCGTTAAATTCAAAACGTGGAGGATTGTTCCTGCCGGCTGTCTGTTTGTTTTTGATGCACAGGTCTCCCCTGAAGAGGGCCCCCGTGCGCTCGGGTCCTCTTTCTATCCAATTTTAAAGGACTTTTTATCCTGTTTTAATTTATTGCCATAAATATTTTGTTTTTACAGTTTGCTCTGTCCTCTTTTGGTCCCACCCACTGCTCTGCCTATTGTTTTAATGCGGTACCACCACTCAATCGTTTCCTTACCTCCAATAATCACAATACCCCCCTCATTACATAATTGGGTTGCTGAGAGGATCCATTTCCTAAATAGTGGTGCTGTCCAAAAAAAAAGAGCAAACATGATGATGCTGTATACCCTGGTGTCTCCATGGCTCCCCAAAATTTAAAGGGCCAGTTGGTTGATTTAAAATATAGGGGATTGGAACGACAAATCAAAAGGACTTTTGGTTCCCAGGACTTACCAGAAGAGAACGGAAAGTTGGTATTTTATTGGGGGAAGCACTCGCAGAGGAGGCACAAGCGACAAGTTGCAGTTTTGATGCGGACGGTAAAAAAGGACCAGGGTGGCAAAAAATATTTGTCTACTTGGATTCTTGATATGGTGACACCGAACTCCAATACCGGTTTTGAGGGCACAATTTTTTAAGCTGTACTCAGAAGGCCGAAGAAAACCCTGTTCAGAGTTTTATCTTGCGGATCTGCCCCGGTGTGACTTGTATTGTAGGCGCAAACGGCTTTGTTCGCGAAGACTCCATCTGAAAGTGCTTGCGAGACCAGCTGCCTGCGGGGGCTCGTGATGGGCCCCCTTTCCCAAGCTCTTAAAGTTTTTGCTCGTCGGAACCCGGAGTTGGAATTTTCAGACCTTCGCCCAGAGGCTGTGCTCGTTGGCGTCGCGAGTATGGCCGAGCTGAACCAGGAGGTAACATGCCTCCCGTATATCTAACAATACCACTTCTCCTAGACTGCCCCAGGAACCCCATTGGAAGGGAGCAATTGAAGCGTGCGATCCCTGGAGGACGTCTAAAATGCAAATCAGGGAAATTAACACAAGAAATAGTGGCAGAGCTCAAGCCGCTCGACTGGCAGACTGCTTCTCCACAACCAGCCCCACCTAATCCAACCAGGAACTAGGCACGTCACCACACCCTCGGACATCTCGGTACAACGACCCGACTATGCACCCAAGGTAGGGCATTTGCAACCGGTGTAGAAAGCAGGCCATATAGCTCGGTACTGTTAGCGGCGTTGTAACCCCTCTGCAAACCAGCTGTTCTTTTAAAAATAGCGACTCCTGCGCTGAGGTCTTCGCGCGCGCAGGTTTAGATGGCCACGTTTTTGCCAACCCAGGGCCACGGAGACGTTAGTTGGTCAGTGTCTAAGGTACAGTTAAGAGTCTGAGGGGGTGTACAGATGGGAGGGGCTGGTTAGACATGGGTCTAGGTAACATGATGGCGGGAAAGCATTTTTAATGAGCACTTCACCCAAGCTAAGCTGGGAAAGGCCCCTACGTTGGTGCCTAGGCCTTAGAGCGGCACATGGGCTAGATGATACCATACACTGGTTGGCAGTGCCTTGACCTAGAGGGTTTGAGTTGAGGGGTCAATGAGTCCCTGTCGAGGGGGGTGGTGATTGTACGAGGACTGTGAAAGTGCAGCACCCATTCATTGTTAGGCATGCTGTTGATCATTGGCCTGTTGGGACACACTATTGAAATGCCCTGCCACGTGTGTCTCGATTGTTCCCCAGTTAAAACCCAGAAAGTGAGGAGAGATGCATTTGCACTTGCCGCATATTGAAGTTTCCCCTGCAGAAAGACGGGCTGCGTTGGTTTTGTTAGATGGCTGCAAAGGCAACAAAAGTTGTTGTCCCTCCAGAGAGTGAGCAGGTGGTGTGGGGCCGCACCCCAAGAGGAATCCAGTCGGAATAGGACATTGTGCCCTTGTGGAAGCCGCTGCTTGATTTGGGCGCCAGTGATGTCTGGGGTTGCAAGAGGCTCTAGTTGATGTTTTAAACCAAGGGTAGAGTGCCAGTGACCGTTTGTTTGTAATCCACCCCCCTATAACATTACCCTAGGGCGGTTCAGGAATTTAGGCCGAACTTATCACAGTGAGGGATGCGGATGTGCTGGGCCCCCCATAGTTTGTCCCTCTCCTGGAGTCACGAGGTGGTTGTAGTAGTCCCAGAGTAAGGCGGATGGTGGCAGCTTTCCCTAGCCGCCCCCAGGACAATCTGAAGGGACAAGCATGTTGAGATAAACAGACCCTGACCTTGCTGACCAACGCAGAGGGAGCTAAGGCCCTGTGCAGAGTTGGGACCAAGTTTTTTCACAGCACGAGGCGGATTTTGGACGGACTAACCTAGTGCCAGCATAGATTTTACAGGCGAGTGCCCCCATTCGGGGAAATAGGTATGCCGGCCAATCCCACCCATGCTGTACAAAGAGGTGAAGACCCTCCTCTCGTGGTATGTTAGAGACAAGGTTGGTTGTTAAGCGAGTTGTTAGCCCTTGGGGCGGCTCGAATTTAGTTATTGCGTGCGTAAAAAAACGACGACAGCTGGCGCTTTTGTGTGACTATCGGGAAGCGAAACATTGGTAACCCCTCAAGGGGGGAACGCTTTTTCCAACTGCCCAAGACTAGAGGAAAACCATGACCAGTTTAGCCCTGTCGGATGGTTCTCTCCTTTAGACCTGCCAGTGGCTTTTTTTCCTGGCAAGTGAAGGCACCCCGGATGACCAAGAAAAGACTGCTTATACCACGCACTGGGGACTATACGAATTTGTGCGTATGCGTTTTGGACTTTGCAAGGCCCCAGCACCGTTCCAGCGGACTCTAAAGCCAGCAGTGTCTAAATGGCCAAAAGCGGCAAGTCGCTACTGGTGTTTGTATTTTGGACGCCATCCTAATTTACTCTCCAAACTTTTCTTCCACCTCAGCATCTCGATAGGTGTACGAGAGACTGTGGCGCATGGGTGAACTGCGTCCAGATAATGTAAGCTTCTACAGAGGGAGGTGACATTCGTTGGCAGGTGGTGGCAAGCATGGTGTGCGACCTCGACCTTGGACGATTTGAGGCAGCAGTGATGGATGTGGCCCAGTTCAAACAACTATTAACACAGGTTGAGCGTTCCTCGGTCTAGCCGCCGGGTACTACCGTCGTTTTGGTTGTGCTGGAATTGGCAAAAATTGCACGACCCTTAACAGGCTCCTCCCGGGCGATTCCCAGCTGATAAAAGGTCACACTCTAGAAAGGGGTTATGGACCCCAGAGTGTCAGACCTCCTTTGATGCCCTGAAAGCTGCCCTCACACAGGCCCCAGTCCTTGCTTGGCAATACGATATCCTTTGATCGTTTATACACCAGACGGCAAGCACCCCGGACTTGGCGCAGTGTTATCACAGCTGCAAAATGGACATTGAAGTGTGATTGCATACGCTAGAGAAGCCTACACCCCACTGCACAGCATGATGCTAACTATTAGCTCCTTTAAAATCTGAAACTCCTAGCCCTTAAGTGGGCCCGGTGACTGAAAACATTTAAAGATTTCTTACAGGAGCAGGAGGTCATCATTACACGCGACAATAACCTTTGGCCAACTACAAACAGCGCCACCTCGCGCAGTGGAGCAACGATTGGGGTGGGCACGGCTTGCTTCATTGTAATCTACACTGGAAAAGTATCGATCAGGTAAAAGTATCGCCAATGCTGATAGCACTGTCCCGATTCCCTGTCCCTTGTGAGGCACGTGCCTGGACCAAACTACAGGCGATGTCGAGGTATAACCGAGGTCGAGTGAAGACCGGACCAAGCTCTGACCCCGATATCCGGGCTGGTACGGAGCTCGTCGCCAGGGGGAAACTTCCCTAATTGCTCAGATCGCCTGGCACTCACATTACAAGTCAAATAGCTCCTGAAGCAGTGGGGAAAAGGTTGTTGGTTAAAGGACAATGTATGTATCGCCGTTTTGTCGATCGGCCTAAACTCACGAGGAGCCACCATCCGGTTGCCTGTGTCCGCGTTCCAGGTGAATAACGAGGTCTGGAGACGGACCTCACGAGGTGGTGTACATGCTAGGGAGCTGCCGAGACCCTGGCCCGGATTCGGCCAGCCGTTTTACTGGCCTGGCATGGAGGGGGAGGTACGCAGAGAGTACAGGGGAAGAAATTGTGTGGGGTGTTGCCTGCAGAAAAGCACGGCAATTGAGCCCGTAGAGCGCCCTTCACCCCACTAGCAGCTACTATGCCGCTGAAGTTATTGGAGTTAGACCTTTTTGACTTTAGTCGAGCCACCGATACATACAGAAATCCTCGTTGCTACCTGACCTGTTCACCCGGTTTGGCGGGGCATAGCTACCACCGATCAGTCGACAACCACTGGAAAAGATGCTTTGGAAGCATTATTATACAGCAAGTTTGGCTGTCCAGCGGCTTTCATTCTGACCGTGGGTCCCATATTTTTGACGTTCTGCCCTAATGCAGCAGCAATGCTGCGACATGTACTGCATAGCCAAAGCCGCCCACCAACCGCTTCATCCCGCTGGTAATGGTAGTCGTCGAACGGTAACCATAACGCTGATGCCCTGCTTCGTTCCCTGGCAAGAGGAAAAAGCAAACGCTGTTTGCAGGCACTATCTGCCTGGTTGATCCACCGATAAAAACACCAAAATGCACAGTGCATTGGCTATGCCCCCTCATTCTTATGTTTGGTAGGCACCTTCGTACTTCTGTGGACGTCAGCTTGGGTTAGAGCTCCAGCGGCTCATTTTGACCCCGCGGGCTGGGGTACGGCCACCACCGTCTACAGATTTACTTTCGCTTACAACCGTTGCGCGTCAAAGCAGCAGCTAATTCGCCTCCATTACAAACAGCAAGTTCAGGTAATAAGGCTAAGCTTTGTCGCTGGTACCTGTGAACACGTGTCTGGCTGCGAAATCAGACGGCAGGGAGGGTCGGGGGGTAAGCTTGGGACTTGGTGGGGATCCTACACCCATGGTCATTTTTGGACTGTGTGGGGGATACGGCGGACGTTTGTTGTATTGAGTGCGTCCCGAGAAGGCGTGGTCGAGAGAACAGACTGTTACACCGGAAATGACGCTGAAAGGTATGCACGGCCCATGCCACTCGCATCGGAACCAAAACCCCGGTGCACACTGGAACCATCCCTCCCAGCACAAGAATTCGAATCTGCCATTGTTTATGGTTTTCCACCTGCGAGCCACCTGAGCCGCCCCCCGTGGACCCTGAAAATGTACCCCAGCCATTCTGGTGCGTTTGTTTAACACTTTGGACAACCACCTGCCGCTTTAGAGACTAGGTTGTGTGCAGTTGCAGGACTGCCAACGACCAAGTGTGGGGGGGTGTGCTCCGCATGTGGGAGCGAGAGGACGATGTTTTGTTTTAGGTTTGCAAGTGTGTTTTTATATGCATTGGGTTTTTTAACATTTAGTCCTGCTCCAGCTGGGCGACATCCGCAGAGCCCCATGACGCTGTTGCCCAATCTCGTGCGCCACACAATTAGAGCACCTGCGCTTGAGAGGGAGCAGGGACTTCAGGCAGGTGAAACGGACAGAGAGAGCGGCAGGGCAACGGAACGGAACGGAAACCGGGAAAAACGGAAACGTAAACACGATCCATGGAGGACAACGCGTGGGAGACCACGGCTTACAAGACCGGCTCCGAGCAGTGACCAGGCATGCCCCCCCCCCCCCACCCCCCCACCCCCCCCCCATCGCGAGCCTATCCACGCAGCGGCAGACGGCGAAAGAAAGCTCTGCCTTGCTGTGAGTAACGCTCTTGTGGATACGCTGGTGCAACCAGGAGAGCCTTCAGGCCCCAGCAGCTGGCGAAGCTTGTTTGTACTGGGTACTGGGGGACTCTTGCTCTTGTGTGCGATTAGAGCGTGTTGGAGAGGGGGAAAGCGGCGGTCCTGAGGGGTGGGAGGCACGGACCCGGGGGGACAAAAGAGCACGTGACGTTGACTACACGCAGCGGCAGGGTGAATCCCTGCCGTTGCTGTAAGTACCTCTAGTCGTTGTCAGCGGGTGTCTGCCTACTCAGAGAATTTTGTGGGGTCTCTTGTGTGGGTGTTTCGGCTGTGTGGTGCTGCGTTTCGTCCTTGTGCCCAGGGGCGGAGCTGGACCGCAAGCAGGAGACGGTTGCCTGACTCTCGAGGGACGCAGCGGCCGGGTGGATCCCCTGCCGTTGTGTGGTAGTGCCCGCCCGTTGTCCCCGTTAAATTCAACACGTGTTTAGGATTGTTCTGCCGGCTTTTTGTTTTTGTGCACAGGTCTCCCTGAAGAGGGCCCCCCTGCGCTGGGACCTTTTTATCACATTTTGTTAAAGACTTTTTATCCTGTTTTAATTTTATTGTATAAACTATTTTGTTTTTAAACCGTTTGCTCTGTCATCTTTTGGTTCACACCACTGCTCTGCCATACTGTTTTAATTCGGTCCACACTCAATCGTTTTCCTTACCTCCAATAATTCAAAAAACCCCCTTCATACCACTTAGCCGCCAGCCCTGTGTGAGCCCTGGTTTTCTCACGATAAGCGCCGCGCGGTACGTCGTTTCCTTTTTGGGGGGGGTGAATGTAGTAGTGTTGGGACAGTTCAGAGTTTATCCGCCCACCAGCTGGGGGGGGGCCAGACGCCCCAACACTATAAAAACCCTGCAAATAGTTGACGTGTGGCCCCCGCTTGGCCGTCTGTTACTTCCGGGGTGCTGGTCGGGTGGGTGTGTGGGGTGTTGGTTTACACCGTTTTGTAGCAGGGTAGCTGATGGCTCTGGAGGTGCTTTTTCAACGCGCAGCCCTGGTGGTGGCACTTCCCACTGGGTGTGTGTGATCCCTCGGTGGTCCTCTGAAGTGGGGAGTCAAAGCCCCAGTGAGAGAACCTCCTGAGAAGATCGTCCTACCTGAAGTGAAACTGCCTCCTGAGTGAACCCGGGCGCACAGCACACCACCGTGTTTCTCCGATGATTCTCCCGTTATTTTCCTGTTTCTCCTTGCGTTTCTTGTCACATCATCCCTGTGTTGCTCTGATGTCCACTCGCGACAGGAAACTGTGTGGAATTGTGAAACCTGAGATCAACTCTCCAGCTTACTGTAATAAATCAAAGTAACTTGTTATTTGCCATTGCCTCATTTTGATTCAACAAACCTTGTGCGCCTTGGAAGCGCCGTTTTTATTTTATTTTGGGCACTCTGCCTGGCTTGTTTGTTTTTTCTGATTATTTATTGTTATTATTTTAGGAGCGCGTAGCCGGCTGCTCAACTTGCCACAATTGGATAGATGAACAGTGCCTCCATGAGCTGTTCAACTTGGGTTCAACTTGTTTATGGTTGTAAACCTGACAAATGTACAAGAGTTTAAGGTCCTCTAAAAGGATGTGATCTGGACTTCCGGCCTAAAGACTGACCAGATGGTGTAGATGGCGAACCAGGAGCTGCACAGGCCTGGAAGGTAAAAAGTGTCCGTGGTGCCGGGGTGTTGATCAGTATTAGTGTGACAATCTATCAAATGACCCTCAAAGTTTTCAAGTATGTTATTATTAGGTTTATTATGATACAACTTGTCTGTAGTAAAAAATCCTTTTCTATGAACTACTTAGAAAAAAACAATCGGGTATAGCTTCCTTTAATGTCGCTGTACTTGTCCTTCCAAATAACGATAATTAAAAAACCCTAACCTAGTTGGCCCTGTAAGATACCATTGCAATTATTAAATCGGAGATTAAAGATAAACGCATTCAAAGTCATATTTAGTAAGAAGTGTTTTACTCTGCATATTTCAAGGGTGCGGTGAAAAGTAGATTGGTGATAGCATTGAAGTGGCTTGGATATGTCAGGAGAAACATAATAATCAGATCCCTTTGAGCAGCAAAGACGCCCCCCGCCCCTTCTTCCTGAATCTTCTCCTCTCAAACTCATTAAACACTGGTCCATCCACAGACTTCGAAGTCAGAACAAATATCACATAATTGTTTGGATGAGCAGGTGGAGGTGTCCTCCTGCTCATCCCAGGAGGAGGGGGAGGAGCCTCTCTAACCCGGTAACGGATGAAGCGGAAGAAAATATGTGGATGGATATTTTTGGCCACGAGACTCTTTACTTTGTCATTTCATGTTTTACAATATTGTCTTCAGAGAAACTGCCTGTAACTCCCTCTGCTGCCACCAGAGGGAGCAGCGTCTATAGTCAGAGCTTCCTGTAACTCCCTCTGCTGCCACCAGAGGGAGCAGCGTCTATAGTCAGAGCTTCCTGTAACTCCCTCTGCTGCCACCAGAGGGAGCAGCGTCTATAGTCAGAGCTTCCTGTAACTCCCTCTGCTGCCACCAGAGGGAGCAGCGTCTATAGTCAGAGCTTCCTGTAACTCCCTCTGCTGCCACCAGAGGGAGCAGCGTCTATAGTCAGAGCTTCCTGTAACTCCCTCTGCTGCCACCAGAGGGAGCAGCGTCTATAGTCAGAGCTTCCTGTAACTCCCTCTGCTGCCACCAGAGGGAGCAGCGTCTATAGTCAGCGCTTCCTGTAACTCCCTCTGCTGCCACCAGAGGGAGCAGCGTCTATAGTCAGAGCTTCCTGTAACTCCCTCTGCTGCCACCAGAGGGAGCAGCGTCTATAGTCAGAGCTTCCTGTAACTCCCTCTGCTGCCACCAGAGGGAGCAGCGTCTATAGTCAGAGCTTCCTGTAACTCCCTCTGCTGCCACCAGAGGGAGCAGCGTCTATAGTCAGAGCTTCCTGTAACTCCCTCTGCTGCCACCAGAGGGAGCAGCGTCTATAGTCAGAGCTTCCTGTAACTCCCTCTGCTGCCACCAGAGGGAGCAGCGTCTATAGTCAGAGCTTCCTGTAACTCCCTCTGCTGCCACCAGAGGGAGCAGCGTCTATAGTCAGAGCTTCCTGTAACTCCCTCTGCTGCCACCAGAGGGAGCAGCGTCTATAGTCAGAGCTTCCTGTAACTCCCTCTGCTGCCACCAGAGGGAGCAGCGTCTATAGTCAGAGCTTCCTGTAACTCCCTCTGCTGCCACCAGAGGGAGCAGCGTCTATAGTCAGAGCTTCCTGTAACTCCCTCTGCTGCCACCAGAGGGAGCAGCGTCTATAGTCAGAGCTTCCTGTAACTCCCTCTGCTGCCACCAGAGGGAGCAGCGTCTATAGTCAGAGCTTCCTGTAACTCCCTCTGCTGCCACCAGAGGGAGCAGCGTCTATAGTCAGAGCTTCCTGTAACTCCCTCTGCTGCCACCAGAGGGAGCAGCGTCTATAGTCAGAGCTTCCTGTAACTCCCTCTGCTGCCACCAGAGGGAGCAGCGTCTATAGTCAGAGCTTCCTGTAACTCCCTCTGCTGCCACCAGAGGGAGCAGCGTCTATAGTCAGAGCTTCCTGTAACTCCCTCTGCTGCCACCAGAGGGAGCAGCGTCTATAGTCAGAGCTTCCTGTAACTCCCTCTGCTGCCACCAGAGGGAGCAGCGTCTATAGTCAGAGCTTCCTGTAACTCCCTCTGCTGCCACCAGAGGGAGCAGCGTCTATAGTCAGAGCTTCCTGTAACTCCCTCTGCTGCCACCAGAGGGAGCAGCGTCTATAGTCAGAGCTTCCTGTAACTCCCTCTGCTGCCACCAGAGGGAGCAGCGTCTATAGTCAGAGCTTCCTGTAACTCCCTCTGCTGCCACCAGAGGGAGCAGCGTCTATAGTCAGAGCTGCCTGTAACTCCCTCTGCTGCCACCAGAGGGAGCAGCGTCTATAGTCAGAGCTTCCTGTAACTCCCTCTGCTGCCACCAGAGGGAGCAGCGTCTATAGTCAGAGCTTCCTGTAACTCCCTCTGCTGCCACCAGAGGGAGCAGCGTCTATAGTCAGAGCTTCCTGTAACTCCCTCTGCTGCCACCAGAGGGAGCAGCGTCTATAGTCAGAGCTTCCTGTAACTCCCTCTGCTGCCACCAGAGGGAGCAGCGTCTATAGTCAGAGCTTCCTGTAACTCCCTCTGCTGCCACCAGAGGGAGCAGCGTCTATAGTCAGAGCTTCCTGTAACTCCCTCTGCTGCCACCAGAGGGAGCAGCGTCTATAGTCAGAGCTTCCTGTAACTCCCTCTGCTGCCACCAGAGGGAGCAGCGTCTATAGTCAGAGCTTCCTGTAACTCCCTCTGCTGCCACCAGAGGGAGCAGCGTCTATAGTCAGAGCTTCCTGTAACTCCCTCTGCTGCCACCAGAGGGAGCAGCGTCTATAGTCAGAGCTTCCTGTAACTCCCTCTGCTGCCACCAGAGGGAGCAGCGTCTATAGTCAGAGCTTCCTGTAACTCCCTCTGCTGCCACCAGAGGGAGCAGCGTCTATAGTCAGAGCTTCCTGTAACTCCCTCTGCTGCCACCAGAGGGAGCAGCGTCTATAGTCAGAGCTTCCTGTAACTCCCTCTGCTGCCACCAGAGGGAGCAGCGTCTATAGTCAGAGCTTCCTGTAACTCCCTCTGCTGCCACCAGAGGGAGCAGCGTCTATAGTCAGAGCTTCCTGTAACTCCCTCTGCTGCCACCAGAGGGAGCAGCGTCTATAGTCAGAGCTTCCTGTAACTCCCTCTGCTGCCACCAGAGGGAGCAGCGTCTATAGTCAGAGCTTCCTGTAACTCCCTCTGCTGCCACCAGAGGGAGCAGCGTCTATAGTCAGAGCTTCCTGTAACTCCCTCTGCTGCCACCAGAGGGAGCAGCGTCTATAGTCAGAGCTTCCTGTAACTCCCTCTGCTGCCACCAGAGGGAGCAGCGTCTATAGTCAGAGCTTCCTGTAACTCCCTCTGCTGCCACCAGAGGGAGCAGTCTATAGTCAGAGCTTCCTGTAACTCCCTCTGCTGCCACCAGAGGGAGCAGCGTCTATAGTCAGAGCTTCCTGTAACTCCCTCTGCTGCCACCAGAGGGAGCAGCGTCTATAGTCAGAGCTTCCTGTAACTCCCTCTGCTGCCACCAGAGGGAGCAGCGTCTATAGTCAGAGCTTCCTGTAACTCCCTCTGCTGCCACCAGAGGGAGCAGCGTCTATAGTCAGAGCTTCCTGTAACTCCCTCTGCTGCCACCAGAGGGAGCAGCGTCTATAGTCAGAGCTTCCTGTAACTCCCTCTGCTGCCACCAGAGGGAGCAGCGTCTATAGTCAGAGCTTCCTGTAACTCCCTCTGCTGCCACCAGAGGGAGCAGCGTCTATAGTCAGAGCTTCCTGTAACTCCCTCTGCTGCCACCAGAGGGAGCAGCGTCTATAGTCAGAGCTTCCTGTAACTCCCTCTGCTGCCACCAGAGGGAGCAGCGTCTATAGTCAGAGCTTCCTGTAACTCCCTCTGCTGCCACCAGAGGGAGCAGCGTCTATAGTCAGAGCTTCCTGTAACTCCCTCTGCTGCCACCAGAGGGAGCAGCGTCTATAGTCAGAGCTTCCTGTAACTCCCTCTGCTGCCACCAGAGGGAGCAGCGTCTATAGTCAGAGCTTCCTGTAACTCCCTCTGCTGCCACCAGAGGGAGCAGCGTCTATAGTCAGAGCTTCCTGTAACTCCCTCTGCTGCCACCAGAGGGAGCAGCGTCTATAGTCAGAGCTTCCTGTAACTCCCACTGCTGCCACCAGAGGGAGCAGCGTCTATAGTCAGAGCTTCCTGTAACTCCCTCTGCTGCCACCAGAGGGAGCAGCGTCTATAGTCAGAGCTTCCTGTAACTCCCTCTGCTGCCACCAGAGGGAGCAGCGTCTATAGTCAGAGCTTCCTGTAACTCCCTCTGCTGCCACCAGAGGGAGCAGCGTCTATAGTCAGAGCTTCCTGTAACTCCCACTGCTGCCACCAGAGGGAGCAGCGTCTATAGTCAGAGCTTCCTGTAACTCCCTCTGCTGCCACCAGAGGGAGCAGCGTCTATAGTCAGAGCTTCCTGTAACTCCCTCTGCTGCCACCAGAGGGAGCAGCGTCTATAGTCAGAGCTTCCTGTAACTCCCTCTGCTGCCACCAGAGGGAGCAGCGTCTATAGTCAGAGCTTCCTGTAACTCCCTCTGCTGCCACCAGAGGGAGCAGCGTCTATAGTCAGAGCTTCCTGTAACTCCCTCTGCTGCCACCAGAGGGAGCAGCGTCTATAGTCAGAGCTTCCTGTAACTCCCTCTGCTGCCACCAGAGGGAGCAGCGTCTATAGTCAGAGCTTCCTGTAACTCCCTCTGCTGCCACCAGAGGGAGCAGCGTCTATAGTCAGAGCTTCCTGTAACTCCCACTGCTGCCACCAGAGGGAGCAGCGTCTATAGTCAGAGCTTCCTGTAACTCCCACTGCTGCCACCAGAGGGAGCAGCGTCTATAGTCAGAGCTTCCTGTAACTCCCTCTGCTGCCACCAGAGGGAGCAGCGTCTATAGTCAGAGCTTCCTGTAACTCCCACTGCTGCCACCAGAGGGAGCAGCGTCTAAAGTCAGAGCTTCCTGTAACTCCCACTGCTGCCACCAGAGGGAGCAGCGTCTATAGTCAGAGCTTCCTGTAACTCCCACTGCTGCCACCAGAGGGAGCAGCGTCTATAGTCAGAGCTTCCTGTAACTCCCTCTGCTGCCACCAGAGGGAGCAGCGTCTAAAGTCAGAGCTTCCTGTAACTCCCACTGCTGCCACCAGAGGGAGCAGCGTCTATAGTCAGAGAAACTGCCTGTAACTCCCTCTGCTGCCACCAGAGGGAGCAGCGTCTATAGTCAGAGCTTCCTGTAACTCCCACTGCTGCCACCAGAGGGAGGAGGACAATCTGTTCTGCTGAGAAATTCAACAAAATAATTCATGGAAAATTCATTTTGTGTGATGTCATAGTGGTACAATGGCACTTCCCTGTTGGGTTAGCATGAAGCTAGCAGTTTAGCATGAAGCTAGCAGTTTAGCATGAAGCTAGCAGTTTAGCATGGAGCTAGCAGTTTAGCATGAAGCTAGCAGTTTAGCATGAAGCTAGCAGTTTAGCATGGAGCTAGCAGTTTAGCATGAAGCTAGCAGTTTAGCATGGAGCTAGCGTGTTGGCGTTATCGTTCTCACCTTCTGCTGCTGATACACGTCGCAGAGCGGAGCCACGCGGCAGGACTGGTGCGCCCCGAACACCTTGCACAGGGAGCAGGTGGGAGCACGGCAGCTGAGGCAGTAGATGTTCAGCTTCTCCCCCTCGTGGTCCTCACACGTGGGGTGAGGCAGGTCTGAGGGAGGCAGGGGGGGAGGGGGAGGGAGGCTGGGGGAGGGGGAGGCTTTGGTTACTCACACTCAGTATAAAGACCAGACATAGATCAGGGTTTATCGCTTTATGTACAGTTCCCTGAGAAAGAGTCAGACTTTATCAACGTTAATGGGCCATGTTTGAACTGTTTGATTCTCTGATCTGTGTTGGAGAATCAACAGTTTATAAAGTCCTCTCAAATACTACTGTTGTGATTTTCAGACCTCCTCGAGTGTGTGTGTGTGTGGTACTGGTGCTGACCTGCAGGGGGCGCACTTGCAGACCGCCTCCTTGTGTGTGTGTGTAGTGTGTGTGTGTGGTACTGGTGCTGACCTGCAGGGGGCGCACTTGCAGACCGCCTCCTTGTGTGTGTGTGTGTCTGGTACTGGTGCTGACCTGCAGGGGGCGCCCTTGCAGACCGCCTCCTTGTGTGTGTGTGTGTAGTACTGGTGCTGACCTGCAGGGGGCGCCCTTGCAGACCGCCTCCTTGTGTGTGTGTGTGTAGTACTGGTGCTGACCTGCAGGGGGCGCCCTTGCAGGCCGCCTCCTTGTGTGTGTGTGTGTGTGTGGTACTGGTGCTGACCTGCAGGGGGCGCCCTTGCAGACCACCTCCTTGTGTGTGTGTGGTACTGGTGCTGACCTGCAGAGGGCGCCCTTGCAGACCGCCTCCTTGTGTGTGTGTGTGTGGTACTGGTGCGGACCTGCAGGGGGCGCACTTGCAGACCGCCTCCTTGTGTGTGTGTGTGTGGTACTGGTGCTGACCTGCAGGGGGCGCCCTTGCAGACCGCCTCCTTGTGTGTGTGTGTGTGGTACTGGTGCTGACCTGCAGGGGGCGCACTTGCAGGCCGCCTCCTTGTGTGTGTGTGTGTGGTACTGGTGCTGACCTGCAGGGGGCGCCCTTGCAGACCGCCTCCTTGTGTGTGTGTGTGGTACTGGTGCTGACCTGCAGGGGGCGCCCTTGCAGACCGCCTCCTTGTGTGTGTGTGTGGTACTGGTGCAGACCTGCAGGGGGCGCCCTTGCAGACCGCCTCCTTGTGTGTGTGTGTGTGTGGTACTGGTGCTGACCTGCAGGGGGCGCCCTTGCAGACCGCCTCCTTGTGTGTGTGTGTGTGTGGTACTGGTGCTGACCTGCAGGGGGCGCACTTGCAGACCGCCTCCTTGTGTGTGTGTGTGTGTAGTACTGGTGCTGACCTGCAGGGGGCGCCCCTGCAGACCGCCTCCTTGTGTGTGTGTGTGTGGTACTGGTGCTGACCTGCAGGGGGCGCCCTTTCAGACCACCTCCTTGTGTGTGTGTGGTACTGGTGCTGACCTGCAGGGGGCGCCCTTGCAGACCGCCTCCTTGTGTGTGTGTGTGGTACTGGTGCTGACCTGCAGGGGGCGCCCTTGCAGACCGCCTCCTTGTAGACGTCTATGATGTTCTCCACCAGGAGGTTCCTCTGGAGGCCGTAGACTCCGTGTCGATCCAGAACCACCTCCTGTCGACAGGACGGACAGCGGAACCTCCCCGAGGACACCATGGAGGTCCTGGCCTGGAACAGGGAGGGCTGGTACCAGGAGACACACCAGGAGGGGACACCAGGAGAGATACCAGGAGGAGAGACACCAGGAGACACAAGGAAGACACACCAAGAGGAGAGACACCAGGAGAGATACCAGGAGAGACACCAGGAGACACAAGGAAGGCACACCAAGAGGAGAGATACCAGGAGAGACACCAGGAGACACAAGGAAGGCACACCAAGAGGAGAGATACCAGGAGGAGACACACCAGGAAACACAAGGTAGACACACCAGGAGCAGAGGGACCACAGGTTAGACTCTAACAGACTATGAGCAAAAATGTTTTGCATAAATGTGGCTCCAATAGTCTGTTCAAGTTAGGCTAACGCTGTGATGTCACACGCTGTCGGTCCACTGCTACAACAGTCTGTGAGAGCTTCACACAAACTCAGCTCCACGGCTCGTTACGCTGTCATTATGAAAAGTAGTTTCATCTGAGCCACAGGTAGCAGCGGAACAGAACCAGGAAGTACCATTAGTCTTGGTCTCAGGGACTGGACTCCTGCTGGGACTCTGAGGAGCACAGGGACTGGCCTCCTGCTGGGACTCTGAGGAGCACAGGGACTGGCCTCCTGCTGGGACTCTGAGGAGCACAGGGACTGGCCTCCTGCTGGGACTCTGAGGAGCACAGGGACTGGCCTCCTGCTGGGACTCTGAGGAGCACAGGGACTGGCCTCCTGCTGGGACTCTGAGGAGGCGCTGGGACTCTGAGGAGCACAGGACTGCTCGCTGGGACTCGCTGGACTCTGAGGAGCACAGGACTGACTCTGCTGGGACTCTGAGGAGCACAGGGACTGGACTCCTGCTGGGACTCTGAGGAGCACAGGGACTGGACTCTTGCTGGGACTCTGAGGAGCACAGGGACTGGACTCCTGCTGGGACTCTGAGGAGCACAGGGACTGGCCTCCTGCTGGGACTCTGAGGAGCACAGGGACTGGCCTCCTGCTGGGACTCTGAGGAGGCGCTGGGACTCTGAGGAGCACAGGGACTGGCCTCCTGCTGGGACTCTGAGGAGGCGCTGGGACTCTGAGGAGCACAGGGACTGGACTCCTGCTGGGACTCTGAGGAGCACAGGGACTGGACTCCTGCTGGGACTCTGAGGAGCACAGGGACTGGACTCCTGCTGGGACTCTGAGGAGCACAGGGACTGGACTCCTGCTGGGACTCTGAGGAGCACAGGGACTGGACTCCTGCTGGGACTCTGAGGAGCACAGGGACTGGACTCCTGCTGGGACTCTGAGGAGCACAGGGACTGGACTCCTGCTGGGACTCTGAGGAGCACAGGGACTGGACTCCTGCTGGGACTCTGAGGAGCATTCATATCCATCACAGGCTGAAGTTTGCTGGAGCTGAATGTCCTTAACGGCCTTTTCTTTCACCGTCTTTGTGAAGGTTTTTGAAGTCTGAAAATAGGTGCTCCTACTTTATGATGAATGAATGTTTCAGTGAACAGTGTTTAAAGCTTCATTCTTCCTCCCGTTGCAACAAAACTTTTCATTACATCGCAAACATGAAGCAGTCCTTCCTCATTGACTGAAAGCAAATGTTCATTCTCATTCTTAGCCCAGTCTTATTATCGACGCTCTCTCTTTATCTTTGGGATCCATGCGCACACACAGATAAAGTTGAATATTACTAATACAAGTTTTTGCAGCATTGAAAAACGTTAAGAATGTTTTTCCTCCTACAGAAACCACATTCAAACTAGAAATAAAATATGGGCACTAAAGGTTGACCCCTGGTTTATACAGTATGTGGAAGCAAATACTGTAGAGGATCAGGATGTCTGCAGTTTCAACAATAAAATAAAGTACAATAGTCTACATTAAACAGAGTAATAAACATGTCTCAGAGTGAGGGAGGTGGACACAGACAATATTGTTTGTTACAATGTTACGGCACGGTGGCTGAGTGGATAGCACTCTCGCCTCTCAGCAAGAAGGTCCTGGTTCAAATCCCGGTCGGACCAGGGCCTTTCTGAGTGGAGTTTGCATGTTCTCCCCGTGTCTGCGTAGGTTTCCTCCGGGTACTCCGGTTTCCCCTACCACTAAAAATATGTACAATAGGTCTGGCATGCGCCTCCTGTTCGGCGACCCCGCTCCCATCTCTGTGTGGAGTGAGAGGACAAGTGCCCAAAAAAAAAAAAAAAAAAAAAAATACAAATAACAATTGTAAACCGCTTTGTGACCCTTGTCTGTGAAAGGCGGTATATAAATAAACATTACTTACTTACTTACTTACAAGGATGAGAATTGGTAACATTTCTGAAATACATATTGTCAGCCATTAGCTGGCTCTAAATCTGTTTAATCTGTTCACAACATTTTACTTTTGAGCTCAAACATGAACTTTTAATGCAATGGAAAATGTAGGTACCCGAGCTTTAATTTAGAGGAGAGGGGAGACGCGGACTGTTTCCTGCAGCGGTGTATTTATTGGGTGCACAAATTACAAAAAGACACGCATGGTCCTGTGCACGTTTATGGTCTTGGGTACATGGTCACGTTGCGGCTACGCGCTCACCGTGTTGTGTTGTGAGCCAGAGAGAGAGACCAGAGAGAGACCAGAGAGAGACCAGAGAGAGACCAGAGAGAGAGACCAGAGAGAGACCATAGAAAGACCAGAAAGAGACCAGAGAGAGACCAGAGAGAGAGACCAGAGAGAGACCAGAGAGAGAGAGACCAGAGAGAGACCAGAGAGAGACCAGAGAGAGACCAGAGAGAGAGACCAGAGAGAGAGACCAGAGTGAGACCAGAGAGAGACCATAGAAAGACCAGAAAGAGACCAGAGAGAGACCAGAGAGAGAGACCAGAGAGAGACCAGAGAGAGAGAGACCAGCGAGAGACCAGAGAGAGACCAGAGAGAGACCAGAGAGAGAGACCAGAGAGAGAGACCAGAGTGAGACCAGAGAGAGACCAGAGAGAGACCATAGAGAGACCATAGAGAGACCAGAGAGAGAGACCAGAGAGAGACCATAGAGAGACCAGAGAGAGACCAGAGAGAGAGACCAGAGAGAGACCAGAGAGACCATAGAGAGACCATAGAGAGACCAGAGAGAGAGACCAGAGAGACCATAGAGAGACCATAAAGAGACCAGAGAGAGAGACCAGAGAGAGACCATAGAGAGACCAGAGAGAGAGACCAGAGAGAGACCAGAGAGAGACCACACACACACACACACACACACACACACACACACACACACACACACACACACACACACAGACACACACAAACACACACACACAGGTCTTCTGGGTAAATACTGCAGCTGCTGTTGGGCCTAAGAGCAACTACAGAAGCTGAGGAGGGACACACCCAAACAGACACACACACACACACACACACACACACAAACCTCTGCTCCACCGAAACACATCAACAACTACAGCACAAACACATTAGTCCCAAGTGCATAAACTTATCAAAAATAATAAACTATATTTATATACAGCTGCATTACAGGATGAGACGTCCATAAATGGTCAGAGCTGGGTCCATGCGTACGTGTGACCCGGAGTCTGACCCGGACTGAGCCCAGGTCCCAGGTCAGAGAGACACTTATAGTATCAGTACCATGTGAGGCTCAGCTGTGAGTTTTCAAAGACTTAAACTGATCTCAGAGACAATATTATTACTGTTGGGACAAACATGTGTTATTTATGAAACAGAAAAGTTAAGTACCCAAGCTTTAAGTAGGAGTGGAGTGTGTTTGTGTGTCTCCTCCACATACAGTATGTTGTGTGTGCGTTCTGTGTGTGAAACAGTGTATAACAGTGTGTATCAGTGAAACCAATGAAACACTCTTGTAGAACAATAGAAGTAAATATAGATCAGAGACATGTGCTGCTCCCACTTTAGACTCAGGTCTGGACCAACAACAGACACAGTGATACCAAGTCTACAGCCTCAGTCCTGGGTCTACAGCCTCAGTCCTGGGTCTACAGCCTCAGTCCTGGGTCTACAGCCTCAGTCCTGGGTCTACAGCCTCAGTCCTGGGTCTACAGCCTCAGTCCTGGGTCTACAGCCTCAGTCCTGGGTCTGCAGCCTCAGTCCTGGGTCTGCAGCCTCAGTCCTGGGTCTGCAGCCTCAGTCCTGGGTCTACAGCCTCAGTCCTGGGTCTGCAGCCTCAGTCCTGGGTCTACAGCCTCAGTCCTGGGTCTACAGCCTCAGTCCTGGGTCTACAGCCTCAGTCCTGGGTCTACAGCCTCAGTCCTGGGTCAACAGCCTCAGTCCTGGGTCTACAGCCTCAGTCCTGGGTCTACAGCCTCAGTCCTGGGTCTACAGCCTCAGTCCTGGTCTACAGCCTCAGTCCTGGGTCTACGGCCTCAGTCCTGGTCTACGGCCTCAGTCCTGGTCTACGGCCTCAGTCCTGGGTCTACAGCTGTACATGGTACAGTACATGGTACAGCACATGGTACAGTACCTGGTACAGCTCGTTGGCACACTTCCCTGGTACAGCACATGGTACAGCACATGGTACAGTACCTGGTACAGCTCGTTGGCACACTTCCCTGGTACAGTACATGGTACAGCACATGGTACAGTACCTGGTACAGCTCGTTGGCACACTTGCGGCACAGGTTGTGTTGACACGGCAGAATCACCACAGGTTTGGTAAAGATCTGGAGACAGATGGGACACAGGAGCTGCTTCTGCAGAGAGTCCAGGGCCTCCTCCTTCTCTGCTCGGGCCTCGCTCTGGAGGCGACTGAGGCCTGAGGACAGCTCCATGCTCCTGGGGCCTCTGGGGCCTCTGGGGCCTCTGGAGAAGAGTCAGTGTTTACAGCGATTAAACCAAACACATTATTTTAAAGTTTGTACCATACTAATGAGATGAAAGAAACCAGTCTGTGTCAGGAGCTACATTATAAACTGTGTTTGATGATAATGAAAGTAAAAATGTGGAAACTATGTTTAAACTAAAGCTATTGAAACAACAAGGAAAGTTTATTTGTATGGAACAGTTTTTACTCCAGGCTCAAAGAGCTTTAAATAATCACAGATCTTTAAACAGAGTGAAGCTACAATCCTTCAGTTGTTTTTAACATGGATTTGAACATTGTCAGAGTCTGTCTCAAATGTTCAGGAAGACTGTTCCAGATGTTATCATAAATCTCATTTTAAGTCCTGCCTCTGAGACGTTACTTCACATGTTTCATTAAACACGTTTCTCACCTGATTCTCTGCGGAGCTCTGACACTCGTCTGTTTCCAACCAACAACGTTATTTCATAGAAAAGTTTGGAATTTTTCAGCAAAAATCCGAGACAAAAAGGAGTTCTGCTCAAAAGCATCAGTTTGAGTGGAGTCAGATGTTGTTGATCTGAACGTGAGCGTCAGAGAAGTGTGGAAACCCCCTCAGCTGTCGGCTTCAGTAAGAGCTGTCTTCAGACGGAGATCTCCAAACACTGCAACAGCTCGCTCTGGATCCACTGAAAAACAGAGTGAGGAGGTCCTGCACCAGGAGGTCCTGCACGAGGGGGTCCTGCACGAGGGGGTCCTGCACGAGGGGGTCCTGCACGAGGGGCCTCCTCAAGTCCACTGTAGTCTCTGTCCCAGACGTCTTGCATCAGTCCACTAACACAGGTGTATGTATGTGTGTGTGTGTGTGTGTCTGTATGTGTGTCTGTGTGTGTGTGCGTGTCTGTGTGTGTGTGTGTCTGTGTGTGTGTGTGTGTCTGTGTGTTGGCAGTCAGAGGCAGGTGCAGGACAGAGACAGGGGCGTCCTCTTCATCCTCTCGTGTGTCTCCCTCCTCTTTCTCATCTTGCATTTGTCCAAATTCTTGATGTTTGTTCACAACTTTCCACCGCAGTCGTCCAGAGTCAAACAGGAGTGAGGGAAGGAGAGAGAGAGGGCGAGGGGGAGAGCGAGAGAGGGAGAGAGGGGGAGAGGGAGAGAGGGGGAGAGGGAGAGAGGGGGAGAGGGGGAGGGAGGGATATGACTGGATTTAAACAGTTCTAATTTCAGTTCACTCACAGCACGTATGAGGAGGGGGAGGTATGTGGACATATTAAGACCCTGTCAGAGAGTGCTCTTTCTACAGTTACAAGCCTCAGTCCCTGTGTGTGTGTGTGTGTGTGTGTGTGTGTGTGTGTGTGTGTGTGTGTGTGTGTGTGTGTGTGTGTGTGAGTGTGTATGTGTGTATGTGTGCACTTGTTTTCAACTCCTGGTGGGTTCCATAACCTGAGATTCCACTCACGTCATGGGGACTGGTTTTACGTGGTGGGGCCCGAACACCGGACCCCACTGGTCCAAGCTTAATAATCAATGGGTAATGCTTTTCTAACAGTCCTTATGCAGTCTCTGTAAAAATATGGAAAGGACCCCTGGAGGTTTACTTTCCTGAAAAAAGTGTGTTATGTGTCGGAACCCTGGTGGTGGGTTGCGGGATATCAAGGAGGGGCACACTGGGGCAATTTCAGTCCAGCAGGCTGGAGCCAATCATGGAGCAGCACAACAGAGGAAATCAGGTGTCAGGCTAGAAAAAGGTGCAAGTGTGTGGTTCATTAGGCTGCAAGAAATCATGGAGGAGCACACTGAAGCGCACGCTTACAAACCACTGGTAAGTGCTGACTACAAGTCATGACTTCAAATTGTTATATAGAATGATTACAAATTATTTGTTGTTTGTGCAGCTTAGTCAAGAGTCCCTAATTGATGAAGTCGACTCAGATTCTGACGATTTAACTGTCAAGAAGAAACCTGTAAAAAAGTATGGAAAAAGAAAAATCAAAAACACTTTTCTTCAAGACTCGGAAAGTGACGAACCAAAGGCAAATAAGATTGTTATCATGCAGCTGCAAAAGAAGAAAAATGGGGGGCGAGATATACAGCAAGAGACACTTCTGCCTCTACTGTTCAATGTCCTGCCACAAAATGTCCCGTCATTTGACTAGAAAACATGGAAATGAAAGTGACGTAGCCAGAGCATTGGCTCTACCTGTGAAATCTAAAGCACGTAAACTTCAGTTTGATTTGATCAGGAATAGTGGAAACCGTGAGCACAATTTTGAGGTTTTAAAGGCCGGCATTGGAACTTTAGTCCCAGCTAAACAGCCAAATTCCCCAGTTAAATCCAGTGAGTTTTTGCACTGTATAGACTGTGGGGCATTGCTTAAGCGAAAGTCGCTGTGGAGGCATGTGGCCAGGTGCCGGCTTTCACAGAAAGATGCCCAGGCTAAACCAGGCTAAACCAGGTAGAAGTAGGGTCCAGTCCCTCTGCTCCCTAGCCCAGCCTGTACCGGAGGGCATCAGCAAAAAGCTGTGGTCTTTAATTTCGGCAATGCATCAGGATGAGGTCACGGGTGTTGTCAAAGCAGAAAAGGGGATTCTGAGACTCGGAGAGCACCTGTACTTAAAACACGGGCATGATAAGACAAAGCATGATTACATTAGGCAGAAAATGAGAGAAGTCGGTAGGTTAATTAACGAAGCAAAAACCGCAGGGAAACTGAAAACAATGAAGGATTTCTTTATTCCTTCCAACTTTAACCATGTGATTGATGCAGTCAGGTCTGTGGCTGGATATGATGAGGAAACAAATCAATACAAGACTCCATCCTTGGCCCTCAAACTCGGCCATAGCCTCAGAAAGCTAGCAGATATTCTTGAATGTGACTCAAAAATGGAGCATTGTGTTGATGAACTATTTATTAAAAACCTCCAACGAAGCCGGCTGCTTTTTGAGAAGAGGTGGGACGTCTGTGTTTCTTCTGCTGCCCTACAGACCCTCCGGCAAGCCAAGTGGAACACTCCGGACCTGCTCCCTCTGACTGAGGACGTTAGAGCCATGCATGCACATATCGAGGTATGTCGACCTGAATATGTGCAAACCCTAATAAGTGAGCCAACGTCTAAGCATTGGTCTAAACTGGCAGTTTTGACTCTTTGTGAGGTCATCATTTTCAATCGAAGAAGGGAAGGTGAGGTTTCAAAGATGCCACTGACAGCCTTTACCTTAAGAAGTAAGACTGGGATCCATTCTGACATTGCTCTGGGACTGTCCCAACTTGAGAAAAAGCTGTGTCAGCATTTTCAACGCATTGAAATTAAAGGGAAAAGAAGTCGGAAAGTGCCGGTTCTTTTGACTCCTGAAATGATTGCTTCGATGGAGGTGCTGGTGGAGAACAGAAGGGCCTGTTCCATCTCTGACCATAACCCATACTTCTTTTCCCGCCCGGGCGCAGACACCCACATCAGGGGATCAGACTCCCTACGCCAGGTAGCCAAAGAATGTGGTGCGGTGCATCCAGAGATGCTATCCTCAACCAAACTTAGAAAGCACATAGCTACTATGTCTACAGTTCTCAATATGAAAGAGAATGAGATGGACATACTTGCCAACTTCCTCGGCCATGACATTCGCATCCACAGGCAATATTACAGACTACCAGAGGGGACACTGGAGCTGGCCAAAATCAGCAAAGTGTTGATGGCCATGGAGCAGGGAAGAGTGACGGAATTCGAAGGAAAGAGCCTCGACCAGATACAAATTGAGCCTGAAGGTAATTCTTGATATTATTAAAATATGTATGATTTTTTTCCCCTAAAGGCCACTTGTATTTTTATTTTCTGTGCGACAGGGAGAGCAGTAGAGATCCTCTCACAAACGGACGGGCTAAAAGAAACTTCAAGCGGAGAACCTTCAACCATTCATCCAGATGCACCCCATGGTAGTGGCAGTGCCCCTTCTGGTAAGTGTACCAGGTGGGGGATTACAGCCAGGCTGCTTGGTCCTAACCCTGGGAGTGTATATTGCTAATATATTTTTATTTCTCTCCCTAGAACGTGTAAGAAAGCCATGGTCTGCATCTGAGGTGAAGGCTGTGGAGAAGACCATGACACCTTTCATACAGACTGGAAAGGTCCCTGGGAAGTCTCACTGCCTGGCCTGGCCTGGCCTGGCCTGCATTAATGCCTCACCAGATGACCTTAGACATCGGACATGGAGTGGCATTAAATTCTATGTCAAAAATAGAATCACTGCAATTCGAAAACAAAATCTAAAATAAAATTCCTTTAAAATAGTTGTTTGGTTTCTATTGACTGTTTTGTATTACTTAAAGTCTTGGTAAAAAAAGATTATGTCTATGGGTCCCATTCTGAACGGCCCTGTCAAAGGGACCCACCAGGTAACAAAAACGTGTATGTGTGTGTGTGTGAGAGAGTGTGTGTGTCTGTGTGTGTGTGTGTGTGTGAGTGTGTGTGTGTGTATGTGTGTGTGTGTCTGTGTGTGTCTGTGTGTGTGTGTGTGTGTGTGTGTGTGTGTGTGTGTGTGTGTGTGTGTGTGTGTGTGTGTGTCTGTGTGTGTGTGTGTGTGTGTGTATGTGTGTGTGTATGTGTGTGTGTGTGTGTGTGTGTGTGTGTGTGTGTGTGTGTGTGTGTGTGTGTGTGTGTGTGTGTGTGTGTACCTGGATATGGAATAGCTCCAAATGTGATGATCTCATAAAGTAAAATTCCAAAAGACCAAACGTCTGATTTACTGGAGAACTTTCCGTGACTGACAGCTTCAGGAGCGCTCCATTTAATGGGAATTTTCTTATCCTCAGTCACATAGAAGGGCTCCTGCAACACACACATTTTATATATATACACACAAACACACGCGCACACATCTTTTTAAATCCGAAATTATTAGAAAGGATTTAAAGTACAAACTCCCCCTTGACTGCCCCCAGTGGGGGCTGTCCCGGCTCAAAAGTGTCCAAAATGACGTGCGCTGACATGCTGCAGTACCACCCCGGGCCTGTGGGGGTGGACCCTGACATGCTGCAGTACCACCCCGGGCCTGTGGGGGTGGACCCTGACATGCTGCAGTACCACCCCGGGCCTGTGGGGGTGGACCCTGACATGCTGCAGTACCACCCCGGGCCTGTGGGGGTGGACCCTGACATGCTGCAGTACCACCCCGGGCCTGTGGGGGTGGACCCTGACATGCTGCAGTACCACCCCGGGCCTGTGGGGGTGGACCCTGACATGCTGCAGTACCACCCCAGGCCTGTGGGGGTGGACCCTGACATGCTGCAGTACCACCCCGGGCCTGTGGGGGTGGACCCTGACATGCTGCAGTACCACCCCGGGCCTGTGGGGGTGGACCCTGACATGCTGCAGTACCATCCCGGGCCTGTGGGGGTGGACCCTGACATGCTGCAGTACCACCCCGGGCCTGTGGGGGTGGACCCTGACATGCTGCAGTACCACCCCGGGCCTGTGGGGGTGGACCCTGACATGCTGCAGTACCATCCCGGGCCTGTGGGGGTGGACCCTGACATGCTGCAGTACCACCCCGGGCCTGTGGGGGTGGACCCTGACATGCTGCAGTACCACCCCGGGCCTGTGGGGGTGGACCCTGACATGCTGCAGTACCACCCCGGGCCTGTGGGGGTGGACCCTGACATGCTGCAGTACCATCCCGGGCCTGTGGGGGTGGACCCTGACATGCTGCAGTACCACCCCGGGCCTGTGGGGGTGGACCCTGACATGCTGCAGTACCACCCCGTGCCTGTGGGGGTGGACCCTGACATGCTGCAGTACCACCCCAGGCCTGTGGGGGTGGACCCTGACATGCTGCAGTACCACCCCAGGCCTGTGGGGGTGGACCCTGACATGCTGCAGTACCACCCCAGGCCTGTGGGGGTGGACCCTGACATGCTGCAGTACCACCCCGGGCCTGTGGGGGTGGACCCGGGTTAAGAATTAGCCAATGCTAACATATAGCATCTTCTTACCTCTGGAGACGTCTTTACAGGATGGTCCAAAAGTGGCTCTTGGCCCAAAGCTCCGTTCCACATGTGTGTCAATGCTGAGGGTTCTGGACCAGTCTAGTTTAGTCGCTGTGGACTTTAGAAGTCTCTGTTTAAATGAATGGAGCTGCTCCGGCTGACGCATGCACAGATGTGTTTTTTCACATTTTCCAGCCCCCGCGGCCATTTTGAAACTGCCCATAGACCGCAGAAGTAGTGGCCCAGCAGTTAGAACAGAGATAGGCGTGACAACTTCTTTAATATTTACAGTCTGTGACTGCCACCTTAACGTGGGGGGGGTCTGAGTACTGATCCTGGGAGTGCTGTTGTCTGGGGCTTCATGGTAGGGTCTCCCATGGTACACTGGTCTATGCCTCATAGCATCTCAATTGGTGCTGAGAGGACTGGGCAGCAGTCGAAAGGCAGAGACCTCGAAGACCCAGTCACTCACAACATCTGGCTGTTGGGACGTGGATCGTCACCTCACCGGGGGGGAGGAGCCTGAGCTCGTGGGGGAGGAGCCTGAGCTTGTGGGGGAGGAGCCTGAACTCGTGGGAGAGGAGCCTGAGCTTGTGGGGGAGGAGCCTGAACTCGTGGGGGAGGAGCCTGAGCTTGTGGGGGAGGAGCCTGAACTCGTGGGGGAGGAGCCTGAGCTTGTGGGGGAGGAGCCTGAACTTGTGGGGGAGGAGCCTGAGCTTGTGGGGGAGGAGCCTGAGCTTGTGGGGGAGGTTGAGCGATACAGACAACCCAACTCCTTGAGAGGGGTTGGACGCTCCACTTTTCTGGTGTTTCTCTCGGGGAGAGGCGGCGAGCGGGGGGTGGGGGCATTCTCCCCCATCTCAGCTCCACATGTTAGAGTTCTCCCTGGTGAATGAGAGGGTCCCCCCTGATCTGAACCCTCTCAGCTCCACATGTTGGAGTTCTCCCTGGTGAATGAGAGGGTCCCCCCTGATCCGGACCCGGGTGTTCAGTTGTTGGACTCCTGTGTCACAGTTTGTCCATCACCAACACCATGTTCCAGCACAAGGGTGTCCACCAGGGGGCGCCAGGACCAGAGGCCGGAGGTCCATGATCCACTTTGTCGTCGTTTTATCTGACCTTCGACCACGTGTCTCGGACACTCGAGTGAAGAGAGGGGCGGAGCTAAGGAGAGGGGTGGAGCTAAAGAGAGGGGCGGAGCTAAAGAGAGGGGCGGAGCTGTCACCGATCATCACCTGGTCGTGAGTTGGATCCGCTGCAGGGGAGGAAGCCGGTCAGACCTGGCAGACCCAAGCGTGTAGTGAGGGTCTGCTGGGAACGTCTGAGCCCCCTGTCAGACGGACTTTCAACTCACACCTCCGGGAGAGCTACTCCCAAGTCCCAGAGGAGGAGAGCTTCTCCCAGGTCCCAGAGGAGGAGAGCTTCTCCCAGGTCCCAGAGGAGGAGAGCTTCTCCCAGGTCCCAGAGGAGGAGAGCTACTCCCAAGTCCCAGAGGAGGAGAGCTTCTCCCAGGTCCCAGAGGAGGAGAGCTTCTCCCAGGTCCCGGAGGAGGAGAGCTTCTCCCAGGTCCCAGGGGAGGAGAGCTTCTCCCAGGTCGCAGAGGAGGAGAGCTTCTCCCAGGTCCCAGAGGAGGCGTCCTTGGGGAGGTCCCACCAGGAGGCGACCCAGGACACAGAGGGAGGAGACCAGGAGGAGACCCAGGACGCAGAGGGAGGAGACAGGAGGAGACCCAGGACACAGAGGGAGGAGACCAGGAGGAGACCCAGGACACAGAGGGAGGAAACCAGGAGGAGACCCAGGACACAGAGGGAGGAGACCAGGAGGAGACCCAGGACACAGAGGGAGGAGACCAGGAGGAGACCCAGGACGCAGAGGGAGGAGACCAGGAGGAGACCCAGGACACAGAGGGAGGAGACCAGGAGGAGACCCAGGACACACAGGGGGAAACCAGGAGGAGACCCAGGACACAGAGGGAGGAGACCAGGAGGAGACCCAGGACACAGAGGGAGGAGACCAGGAGGAGACCCAGGACACAGAGGGAGGAGACCAGGAGGAGACCCAGGACGCAGAGGGAGGAGACCAGGAGGAGACCCAGGACACAGAGGGAGGAGACCAGGAGGAGACCCAGGACACAGAGGGAGGAGACCAGGAGGAGACCCAGGACACAGAGGGAGGAGACCAGGAGGAGACCCAGGACACAGAGGGAGGAGACCAGGAGGAGACCCAGGACACAGAGGGAGGAGACCAGGAGGAGACCCAGGACACAGAGGGAGGAGACCAGGAGGAGACCCAGGACACAGAGGGAGGAGACCAGGAGGAGACCCAGGACACAGAGGGAGGAGACCAGGAGGAGACCCAGGACACAGAGGGACTGTCTCTCAGCTGGCCTGGGAACTCTTCGGGGTCGGACGAGCTGGAGGAAGTGTGTGAGAGGGAAGTCTGGGCGTCTCTGCTCAGACTGCTGCCCCTGCGACTCGGCAACGGATGAAGCGGAAGACAATGGATGGATGGAATCTCTCATCATCAAGACTGAGGACCGTGAGGACCGTGAGGACCATGAGGACCATGAGGACCCTGAGGACCCCTCACCTTGATGACTCGTCCTAGTCCGAAGTCGGCCACTTTACAGATGTAGCTGTCTCCCACCAGGACGTTCCGCGCTGCCAGGTCTCTGTGGATGTACCTGTGCTCCTCCAGGTACAACATCCCATCAGCCACCTGGACTCCCATGTCCAGCAGGGACACCACGTCCTGCTGCGGTCCCTCTGGGCCTGAGCACAGGGACAGAGGACATAGGTACAGAGGACACAGGGACAGAGGAAACAGGGACAGAGGACACAGGTACAGAGGACACAGGTACAGAGGACACAGGGACAGAGGAAACAGGGACAGAGGACACAGGTACAGAGGACACAGGGACAGAGGAAACAGGGACAGAGGACACAGGTACAGAGGACACAGGTACAGAGGACACAGGGACAGAGGACACAGGGACAGAGGAAACAGGGACAGAGGACACAGGTACAGAGGACACAGGTACAGAGGACACAGGTACAGAGGACACAGGGACAGAGGACACAGGTACAGAGGACACAGGTACAGAGGACACAGGTACAGAGGACACAGGGACAGAGGACACAGGGACAGAGGACACAGGTACAGAGGACACAGGGACAGAGGACACAGGTACAGAGGACACAGGGACAGAGGACACAGGTACAGAGGACACAGGTACAGAGGACACAGGTACAGAGGACACAGGGACAGAGGACACAGGGACAGAGGACACAGGTACAGAGGACACAGGGAAAGAGGACACAGGGACAGAGGACACAGGTACAGGGAGTTCTCAGACCTCAGAGACCTCAGACCTCAGAGACCTCAGAGACCTCAGACCTCAGAGACCTCAAACCTCAGAGACCTCAGAGACCTCAGACCTCAGACCTCAGAGACCTCAAACCTCAAAGACCTCAGAGACCTCAAACCTCAGAGACCTCAAACCTCAGAGACCTCAAACCTCAGAGACCTCAGACGTCAGAGACCTCAAACCTCAGAGACCTCAAACCTCAGAGACCTCAAACCTCAGAGACCTCAGACGTCAGAGACCTCAAACCTCAGAGACCTCAAACCTCAGAGACCTCAGACCTCAGAGACCTCA